ATCGCTCTTTTCACCTAAAAGCACTACCGGGGAACCCGTCTGGATAGACTACAAGGTTATAGGAATCTAGTCAGTTCCCGTAATTGTGCCGGTTGGGAGCTGCTTCGCTTGTCACGCTCCTCGCTTTTTTCTAGTCGTAATTAACAGTAGAAGAAGATATCTTGAGCTTGCTTCTCCATCGGGATTTCGCGAATTTCACAGGATACGTGGTAGAGATCCTGTGACCTTTTGCTTCCACCGACGAGATGAGCCCTGTGTAAGAGTTTTAGCTGTTTGTTTTAAATATTTAATGACAGACACATCCCGGTGCATCATTTTCGAGTTGTAAGTGACGTGCCGACAAATATCGCGCGGTCAAACAAGTACGTTTGCGCGGTCAAACAAGGTCGTCTTTCCGTGCCGACAAATATCGACTTTCTACCTTTTGAGGCCAGAAGTCCTACTTTTGCATAGCTGTTTTTAGGCTAAAGGTTTATCGGAATCGTGCAAACTAGTCTTTTGGTAGAAGTTCTACCAGGGAAGATTGATCGTTCAAAATGAAGTGATGTCGGGGCGTAGTGCTCAGTATTTATTTCCTTTTCCAGTTGCCACTGGAAGAGTCGCGTCCTGAAAAGATCGAAGTATTTTTGTATATCAATCACTCCTGTGAGGAGGCAGCAGCATCCGCTAGAGTGCAGGATGCGCGATGAACGCGACACAGGGCTCGTAGCCCGTCGCTGACATTGAAAGACCGTGGTAAATGAATCAACCAACACGACGCTAGTAGCGAAAGCGCATCGATGCTGCCATCAGGAACATTAGAATTAGAGCCCGCTGGTGCGCTCCAAGTCGCCCCCACCCAGCAGGGCGGCCCAGGCACCTCCAGGATCCTTGTTCACCTCTTGAGATGTTCGTCCAAATCACGAATACAGAGGGCGACTTCACACTCTTACTCGCTCGCACAACGTTGAGTGGATCGCTTTCTAGGGTACAGGATCAAATTTAGAGCCCCACAAACCTCTCGCAGCTCTCACAGTGGCAGGTTGGAAGCTGACCCTAAGCAACCTTTTTCTCGGTCATCTCAGTCACAGATCCCAAAAATGAACAAGATCCGCCGACTGTCAAGCCAGTGGGTTTATTCAATTTCTTTGTTTTCTCTACGTAGGTTGTTTTTCGTAAGAGTGTGTTGAATTGGTGGCCGTGGACGTGCACCGAGCGATCAATAGTGTTTTTCCGCAAAAAACGGAAGGCACGCGTTCTTTTAAAGCCCAGTTTATTTTCATTGTGAAACTACAAGGGAAGATCCAGCTTCTCCTTTTCTGATGTAATAATGCTAGCTACGTACCCCCTGGCGCAAGCCGCCGGGAAGGGGGTTGTAGTTCGGAGTGGTTATATGAATTCCAAAAATGTCTGGGTCTGGAAGATTGCAACTTGTCATGGTAAATCTGAAGCATGCAAAAATCTGTGTTGCATGAGTGCCAAAAGCGGCACACTTTTGAACAAGTTGGAAGGGAGTTTCTCATGCAGGATAGGCATGGCAGAGACCTCGCAGAGTCTGTCATGCTATGGCCCGCATTCCAGACCTCATGGGTCATGGAAAATCTGCATGACAAGTCTACACTTTTCCAGACCCAGACATTTTTGCATTTGATAGGTTAACATTTTTACCTATGTGGACTAAAACTCCGACGCGGCGTGGCCGCCTGACCGCCGCGATCCACCGCAAGCGCAGCGAATTTCTGTTGCTATCCTGTGCAAAATTATCGTACTCGTAGTAATTGCAGTCATGCATTACAATTTTTTTTCCTAAGGTAAATCCGCATGACAAACTTTGTTTCTCATGCTGAGGGAATTTGTAATGCATTTATACGAGAGCGATGCGTTTGCAATGCATAGTTGCAGCAGTACCCCAATTGCCCCAGTTTGCAGATCAAGAAGCAAGCAGCGGAAGAGGAGCAAGACCTCCCGGGGGCTGCACTGGTGGATCCTGACGCGGAGGAGGTTCTCGAGCAGCACAACCGTTTCGTAAATATCTCGGAAGATGCTGCGCCGGTCATCGAAGAGTCTATCCTGAGTAAAAATGTCCCCACTCCAGAGTCAAATTGGGAAATCCGCTAGACAAATCAGCCACCTCTGGTTGTTTCGCATGACAGCTTTGTCCTCGTAGTGTGATCCTGCTTAGTTCGTTCAGCAGCATCACAGATCTAGCCTATCACGCTGATTGGAGCGCTGCAAGTTCCAAAACACGACTAGAGAATACTTCTCATGGGGCTCCGCATGACAAACATTTTTCGCATGCCTACCTGCATGACAGCTCTGGGGTGGGGACGTTTTTACATAGGATAGAGTCCTGGTCCTCCTCATCTTCCGGAGTGGACGTCGCGGAGAACTACACTAGAACCTATCAAAAGGAAAAATCCCCCCTCCCCATATCAAAACGAAATTTCTGATGCTGGATTTGAATACACAAATCAAATTTGTGTTGCAGTAGAGGAATGCACGCAGATCCTGAGCCTAGGCGGGGGTCTTTTGGTGTAGGCACCTAGCATGGTAGACGACTACCCTGTGAGCCTTACAGCATTACAAATCGCCTGCATAACGTGGCAGAGAGCCTGGATCTGCCTTCTAGCAAGACAGGCCCGCTCTGTGGTCACAAATCACGAGTCTGCTTTTCAGAAGGATGCGTTTTCAATATGGGGAGGGGGGATTTTTCCTTGCAATAGAACCCCTACCAAAAGTACTACTAAAAAAACGTCATTCCAAATAAAACGCAGTGGCCGGTGCGGTACCCACGGGGGTTGGCTGCGCAATCCGTTGCGGCTGCACGAACTAGGCAAGCTCTCCGGACCCAACAGTGCGCAGCAGGAGTGGCTGGCGCAGCGGGAAAAAAACATCGACGACTATTTCGCGGCACGACTGCAGAACGAGGTCGAGGTGGAGGTGGGTAGCAGGAGCTGCACTACAACTACTGGCGAGAGTGGAGGAGGTCAACAGCATCTTCTAAATACCCCCTTTCACGGTGTTGATCCGTCAAATTTTTCTGCATTCGGCGCGACGAAATCTTCAACCTCTGTTGATGCTGCGAAGAGCACAAGCAGCAGTACTGGAGGCGGAACCAGAAGTTGTGTAGAAAATGATCCTGCATCGAACATCAAATCGCAGGACCAACATTTGTTCCTCGTCCCCAGTTCTACTCGTAGTACACAAAAACTCCCGCCCAGCCCGCTCTTCCGGCAGCCCTCAATAAACCTCGCTCCCCTACTGGAGGAGCAGTTGCAAGTCAAGCAGCAAATTCAAGCCACGATGCCCGACTCGAACCACTTTCGGCAAGATCATGTCGACCTTTTGGTTCGAGGGGTCAAGAATCTCAACGACGGCGCCATCGGACCCGGTGATCAGATGTCCTTGCAGGACGAGCTACATCAAGGGGATTCGAAAACTACACTCCAACAGCTCCTCGAGGAACCTTCTTCAAGAACTACATCGCCCGGTTTTGATTTGCCAGCATCGGCGCAGATGAGCAGTGGAAGGGCCGCAGCACCACCTTCCGGTGACGTAGTCGTAGATGGAAATTATAAGGGCGCAAGGGTTTCTATCGAATATCAAATGTAAAAATGTCTGGGTCTGGAAGACTCATGCTGTTTTTGCATGACACAGAAGGTCTGGCATGGAGGCTCTAGCATCACAGGTTTCGAGAAGCATTCGGAATGCCGAATCCGCATGACAAATCCCTGATTTTGGTGACAGAAAGTGGGCAACTTTTGCTGCCTATGCATGAGAGATTTTTCTGTGTTCTGAAATGCGCATCACAAGTTTCAACCTTCCAGACCCAGACATATTTGCAATGCATATCGTAGCAGCCAGCACAACTGCTGCAGCTCCGTCAGATCTTCACGTTTCTGCAGAGAATGAAAATACCACCACGCTGCCGGGAAAAAACTGCTCATTCTCTCAGCCCAACGGGCACGAGGACCATGGTTTGCAGCCTGAGGCTGCCGAGAGGTCGTCCTCAAACTGCATGACTCCGTCTGCTTTTATCACAAGGAAAAATCCCCCCTCCCCATATCCACCGGAAGTTTCTGATTCTGATGCTGGATTTGCATATACAAATCAGGTCTGTCTTGCAGTAGAGGACTGCAGGCTCCTGCCAAGCCTGATTAGAGAGGTTTTGGCCTAGGCGCTTAGCGTGGGAAACGGCTATGCTGTAGGCCCAACAGCATCCATCACAAACCGCCTGCATAATGCGGCAGAGCCTGTGGGATTGTCTTCTTGCAAGACAGACGTGGTTTGTGGTCTCAAATCACCAAGACAAATTGTCGGAAACATACCTTTTCGATATGGGGAGGGGGGACTTTTCCTTTCAATAGCTTCGCCCTCTGTACCCGTAGAAGGAGCAACGGCTACGACCAGTCCAGACCGAGTTGATATTTCGACATCAACAGCTGTGGCAGCTAGTACGCCGCGAGAAGAAACGCGACAGGACCTCGTAACAACATCTATCCTGAGTAAAAATGTTCCCACCCCAGAGTTGTCATGCAGATTTGCGACTACAGGAAGATTTGTAATGCGCATCTCATTGAGGGGCGTTTCCAATCGTGTTTTGGATTTTGTAATGCTGTAAACAGGATGAGCAGATGGATTTGTGATGTGGTTCTCGTTGCTAACATGCGTAACTACACTACGGACTGCAACTTGTCATGCGTGGCTCCCAAAACTTCTGGATTTGTGTCGCTAAGTTCCCATCTTGACTCTGGTGTGGTGACGTTTTTACATATGATAACATCGGATCATACCCAATCTCCGTCAGTCTCCAGCGGTAATATCGAGGATTTTGCAGAACCGACAGCCAACCTTTTTGGCATATCAAATGTAAAAGTGTCTGGGTCTGGAAAGTTGGAACTTGTGATGCTAATTTTGGACTCTAAAAAAATCTGTATTGCATGACCAGCAAGAGGAGCCACATTTGTGCTACGCGAGGAGGGCATTTGTCATGCGGAAATGGCATCAGGAAGCTTTCCAAAAATCTGTGATGCTGGGTCATGCATTACAAGCATCATGGGTCATGCCAGACAAGCATGACAAGCCTTCCATTCTTCCAGACCCAGACATTTTTACATTTGATATGGCAGTAGTACAGGCAACCCGTGGAAGGAGCTCCGGTGCACGGCGTTGTGCGACGTGTGGAGCAAGGCGGCGCATCGAGAACACATCGAAATCGATTGGGGTGAGGTGAACCGCTGCGTGCTGCCGATGAGCGTCAAACCAACGTGGAGAAGAACTGTAGTAGGGGAGAGCAAAGCTGAGGATGAAGAATGCTCAAGAACATCGGGGGAGGTAGAAGTTGTGCAACAACGAAGATCGCATTATCATCAAAAGGGACAACAACGACCCAAACTCATGTCACCATCTGAATCTCCTCAACCTGCTTGTTCACAACCCCACCGCGACGAGTGCCGCACTCGTCGTGTATTCCTCCCGTCCACGCAACAGACAGTGACGGCAGCGCGAACCTCCTATTAAGAGGAAAAATCCTCCCTCCCCATTTCAAAATGGAAATTTGTGATGCTGATTTGTGGTCACAAATCATCTTTGTCTTGCCTATAGGGCAATAGGAGCCATGTGGCGCATTCCAAAGGCAATCTGTCATCCGCTTTCGGCTACTGCAAACCTGTTTGCCATGCGTAATTGCGAGCCTTCTGCATACCCAAACAGGCTCAGAAAATGCCGCCAAGCACTTTCTGCAAGACAAACCTGATTTGTGTACTCAAATCCAGCATCAGAAACTTCGTTGTAATATGGGGAGGGGGGATTTTTCCTCACAATACCTCCGCGGTTTTGTTCGACACGTCTTTCCGTCAGATTTTCCGGCTTTCCGGGCGGGACCGCGCGGTGGTGGCCGACTATGCATTGTGCAAATATGTCTGGGTCTGGAAGATTGCCAGGCTTGTCATGCATATTTTGCATGACCCATAATGCCTGTAATGCATGACCTGGCAACATCACAGATTTTCAGAGGGCTTCCTGATGCCCATTCTGCATGAGAAATGCCCTCGCCGTGAGTCCACAGACTGGACTCCTAATATCGCTGGGCCTGCAATACAGATTTGTTCAGAATCCAACGACAGCATCACAAGTTCTCACCTTCCAGACCACATCCAGGGATATTTGCACTGGATACCGACCACTTTCTCACGACTGACGTCCGCACCAAGATGGAGCCCGGGGACGTGTGTTACTCCTGCGTCTTGGACACGATGGCGCGCGTGCTGGATGTGGGATTCGTGTGCAAGATGCAGAACGACATTTTTCTCGTCCTCGAGGGCCACGATGCGAAGCAGACCTTCGACTACCTCCAGAACTACGTCATGTACACGCGGCAAACTGGGCTTGACGTTACCATTTCCTCCTCCGAATGCGGACAAGTCGATAGTACTTTCATCTTCGACGACGAGATCGCGAAAGCGGCGCGCATACGCAATTCCACCTTCCACAAGATGTCGGCATCCGTGGAAATTGCAGGACCGGCAAGCGCGGTGACGGTCGCTGGGACCGTGGCGCGACTGTACGAGGACTCTGATAGAAGTACCGGCGATGAAATCAATCCGGTCGTTTTCCTGTCCTCTAGTCTTGACGAGGAGCCTGATGAAACAGCCGATAACAGCACTTCGACGACAGCAACAACCGACGACAGCGTCGTGGCTCGCCCGGCGTCGGCAGCCTTGCGTCGAGCGGCTTCCCTGCGGAAAAAAATCACCCGCATGCCAACAAACAGCTGTCTGTCCTTCGCCGCTGCGCCGGGTAGAACGAGAGAACGACGTAGTCGTCCAAGTATGTTGTTCTCTGCAGAACAAGAGGATAGTACGTGCCCAACTACATCAAGTGGAAGCAGTAGCTGTGAAGAGCAATACGCCTATAATCCGGAAGAGCTTCTGCACCTCCACATCGCCCGAGTCTCGATGACCGGCGAGGACGGATTTGTTATTTTCGGCCATGACCGGCTGGTGCGGATTTTCAACGAGAAAGCCCTGAGGACCACAGGGGCCTCCGCACTAGATGAACCCCAGAAGCAGGCCAGAGTTGTAATACCAGAACAACGAGAATTATGTGATCAAACGTTTGTTGACGGATCTTTTACTACAGACGACGACCGCCACGACCCTCAGCTGCTCCTCGGCACCTACCAGGCCTTTGACCTCCTCCGTCTGGAGGCCGGGCACGTCAAAATGGGCCAGGATCTGCTGCCCGGCATGGTGACCCCGGTGAGAGCCTCCCTCGCCTGGACGATCTCGCAAAACAAGCTTCGCAACCACACCCTCTTCGGGTGGCAACGATTGTTCTACGATCTGGCGCGCGGCCCGAAGTGGCGTTTGGTCGGGTTGGAAATTCAACCGGGCAAGTTCGCGCACCCCGGCTGCGTCCTCATCTCCGACGGGGGCTTCATCCGACGGATGGTGGGGCACATCGGCAGCTGTTGTTTCTCCCCACATAAGAAGACCCGGATTGCGTTGGGCTACGTCCACCCGGAATACGCGGAGGAGGGGAAGCGCTTGTTTGCCAGCGTGTTGTTCGACCTGCCGGCGGGGAGAATGTCCGGCGAACGGATCAAATTTATGCTGAGCAAAAACGTCCCCACCCCAGAGTCAAGTTGGGAACTCAGCATCACAAATCCAGAAGTTTTGGGGGTGACGCATGACAAATTTTTCTCTGTATTGTAGTACAGGGTAGCAAGCACAACCACATGACAAAGCCACTCTCCTATCCTGCTTACAACATTACAAATTTCAAAAAACGATTGGAAATGCCATTAGTTACAAATGTTGCTGTAATTGCAAATCTGCATGACAACTCTGGTATGGGGGACGTTTTTGCTCAGGATCAAATTCCACTTGATGCAGGGCATCAAGCGGGGTAACTACAGAAAATTGGTGCCTCTGAAGGTGGTGGATTTACCCTTTGTGCAACATAGACCACCACTTTTAGAGAAAATGACAACGATAAAGACATGACTACATGATCACGACTTCCCGGGGCCAGTGTATACTACTCGAAACGGAGTCTCATGCTCACTACCCATCTTTCTTATGATTCTCTTTCGAAAATGGAGATGTTTCTTTTTCTTCTTCATTCTGGGGTTCGAATTATGACAATTCTCGATCGATAAGGATATCATCTTCGGAGGAAAAAATAAAATATCGAAAAATCTGATGTTGAAATTCATGTCATTCTTTGATGGATTCATAGGAATAAATTCAAATTTTTCCATTTTTTTTGTTCTGTTGCTTTCCGGAATTCGTAATGTGAGTGAATTTGTGATATTATCGGATTGAAAATATATTGTCGATTGTAGAGAGAAGATTCATTCATGATCATCCATTGAGATCAGAGACCATATATCATTTTCGAAAGAATGAAATTCTGATATTCTATCAATATTATTCTATGTCTATTCGCTTTCGAAAGAAGAAGAATCTTTCCATTCTAATTTTGATTCTTGAAATCCATATGTCGTTTTCAATTCTTCAATGTGATTAAAAATCAAGAGGAAATAAAAAGTCATGAAGAATGAATCCACATAAAAAATCAAGAGGGAATATGAATCCATATACATGTCATTGAAGATATATTCATTGTCTTAATTTCTTATATTCATTTCGATTATCATGAATCACATTCACAGAACATCTTAAAAATAATTCGAATACATATTCCTTCTCTCCATTCTTCTCGATGAATCGATCGATATATGATTTTTCATGGAAAAATCTTCCAGATCTATTTCTGTTCTGAAAAGAATTTTGTTTTCGATCGATATCTTGAAGATGATTTTCGTATATTTGATGTGGCATGGATTTAGTCATAATCTGAAATTCATCATCACAGATTGGAGATTTTAGAAATTTCTTCCTTCTTTCGAATATTTGGTTATGTATCGCATATGTATCGCACCTTCGCCGTCTTCTTTGTCGTCACGTACTCGACCAGAACGGCATCCATATTGTCCCGCGGTTTTTCATGGCAATAATACTGCACGTCCGTCGCAAGGTCGAAGCAATGCTGCAAATCTAGTGCCCGCGTGGCAGAAGTAGCACGCATCTTCTGCACCCTCGCAACACTAGTGGGGGGCATGGAGATCAATAACGAAGAAGCTTGTAGAGCGAGTAGGAGTGCTACTGACTCTACAAACGAAACGACTCGCAAGGAGGAGGGCAGCATCTTCAGAGGTTTATGAACAATCATGATGGAGCTCTTTGTGTTTTTTATTTTTTTTCCGTATGACAATTCGAATTATTAAAATGGAGTTTGTAGTCAGGTACAAGAATATGTAAAACCCCAACGTCAGTTTTGCAAATGTAGCTTTTCCTGTCGTTTCAGTTTTCAGTGTCTGTAGATGCTGCTTTCAGTAGGGACAGCGAGATATCGCTGGTTAGCAGCTCAAATAATAAAAAGGCCGTGATTATTGTGAGGTAAGCAAATAACTAGGGTAATCAGGAGGGGCCTGCTGTCAGCGACATGTGTTTTTTCATTGTCATTCTCCTACGAGCGAGAACATGTGTCAAACCGAGAACAAAAGCGCAAGCAGTCACTTACTTACTATTGAAAAATTAAAGCGTCGTCTCCACGTTAAAATATCGCCTCGCGCGCTCTCATCATGATCGTGATCAGCACCTATTTTTTCCCGTGATGTGGTGCAGTTATTCTTGTACTCTTTAATTTCGTACTCTAGCATGTAGGAGCCACCGAACCACGGGTATTCAACTCACTTATCTACACTGACGTGGTCGTGGACCGAAGAAGTTTTCGCGCTTCAGCTTGATCAAAATGTTGTCTTTGTCACGTCTGTACAACATTGGATCGGATTTGTATTGTACCGAATTGGTCTGTTCGTAGCAAGTACTCAGGCGGTGCGGCGGTACAGCAAGTTTTGTCCAGTTTCTGTTCTATTTGAACGCAATTCTTTCTCTCGATCTTCAATTTTGATCCTCAAGACCAGTAGTGCCCCCCTAGCATCATCTTTGCAGTAGAGTCTTCGTGCTGAAACAATACATCCACTGATTTGCATTGCTGTATCAACCTCACTGTCGCAGCGCTAGCGGCACTAGTCAACATTCGGTGCTGACCACCCGTGGTAGAAAGAAGTTCCCAGGATGAAAAACAATTCTTCCCGGAGCTGAAATTACTTTGGCGTGGTAGAGGTGCTTGTTGTGTTTTACCAGACAAAAACATGCTCCTGTGGACAAAACTTTTTCATTTTCCGCTTCATTTGTTACATTTCGCGGACATTGACTTTATGGAGTACTACCATGTTGCGCGGGGCTTACGTAGGTATAGTTTTGATGGAAATTGTGAAAATATTCAACTGCAAAAGTGAGTACATTGGATGGTACGAAACGCAAACGGTACATTTGTAGCAAAATCATTGTTCAACCTCCCAGCATGTGTTTCTTCATACACATTCAGCATCGAGAAAATGAAACTACGTACTACACACTTGAACGAAATTAACTCGAGCCATTTTTCAATCAAAATTGCTACAAGCGCCACAGACGAAAAGTTGTCCGCGTAAGTCTACTCTACAGAAGTAGTCCTAGTGTTAAAAATATCAACCGCAAATGAGCATATTGAATGCTCTACCAGACCCGGTCAGCGTGGAAAATGATGTTGACGATTTTATCCGACTCTTCATACGCCGTGTACTCCTCATTGCTCCACAGTTCTAGAGAGTCTGGAGCAGGCTCTTGTGCACAACTAGAGAAACTACTCGTGTCCCCCTCGTCGTCGTCGTCGTCGCTTCCGATCCTACTGCCACACTCGTCGTCCTCGTCCGAGCAGGCTTCATAACTTTCAGTGTCGTTGCAGCTTTGTCGGTAGCAGTTGGCGAAAGCGGCAGCAAGCTGTTTCACGACAGGTGACGATGTTCTTCTTGAAGAATTGCATGGAAATACACAAGAACTTCTATACCTTCTGCTTCTGCCTGCATCCACCGCGGCGCAGCAGTTATAGCAACTATAGCAAGAACGACGAGGATGAAGATCCTGCAGCGCTCTACGAGTATGGATTGCAAATATGTCTGGGTCTGGAAATCTGTGATGCTGAATTAAGCATGATTGAAGCGCTTGCAATGGCAGCCAGGCATGACAAGTCTAGAAACGCCTGCTGATGCCTGTCACGCATCACAAGTTGCGTTTTTGCATGACAAAGCAAGCTCCTCTTTTACTTTTGCTGCTCATGCAACACAGATTTTCCAGGAATGCAAGACACGCATCACAAGTTCCACTGCTCCAGACCCAGACATTTTTGCATTTCATAACGAGTAGAACTTCCCGAAAGATACTCCTTCAAACCGAGCCTCCTCCGGCCGTCGAGTATCAACTGCAAAAATGTCTGAGTCTGGAAACTTGTAATGCTGTGTTGGGAATAGTGAATGCTCTGCAATGGACAGCCAAGCATGAGAAATATCTGCGCTTCTTTGTGTTCGGTTTTCGCATGAGAAACTGCGTTTTTGCATGACAGGCATAAGGGTCTCTTCTTGGACACGCATCACAAACTTTTTTGTCATGCCGGACAAGCATGACAAATCTCGCAATCTTCCAGACCCACACATTTTTGCATTTGATATCGAGCGCGGCTCCGGAGGTCCAGATGAATTCTGTTTCGTCCAAGCGCAGCACGAACCGCAAACCCAGCACGGCTTCCAGCTGCAATAGGGCATTCTGGCGGGCGAAGGTAGTCGGCATACTGCGGACAACGCGGTCGTACACGCGCCGGCGAACATTCTTTTGATTTGCGAGCGCATTATGAAGAGGATCTTCTTGATTTGAATTGTAATATGGAGTCGCTTCTAGAGAAGTAGTTGCTGTTGGTGAAGAAGGTAGTGCTGACCCAATACCAGGCGCTTCTCCGCTCGTTCGCGCACTGCTGTTACTACTTGCAACCGCGGCTGCGGCAAGATGAGAAAAGACCGGGGGCAGTAGAGTTCCACCCCTAGAAGACCTTTCTTGCCCCGCAAACGCATCCGAGAAGTCCTCCACCGAGGTGAAGCGCGAAGAGGACGAGATCCCGTGTTGCGTCTATCCAGTGCAAATATGTCTGGGTCTGGCAGACTGCAAATGTTTGTCATGCATTTTCTGGATTACACAGATGGTCTCTAATGCACGCAAAAGGATTTCAGGTTTTGCGCAGGCCTGTTATCTATTGTCTGTCCCACATGACAAATTCCCTTTTTGGTAGCAAGAAACGCAAAGCCAAAGCTTCTTTCTACTGGGGCTCTTGCAATACAAATTTTTGCCTATTCTGGAATCCGCATGACAAGTTCCAATGCTTCCAAACCCAGACATATTTGCAATCCATAGCGTCCCCTCGGACCCGATGCTTGTGCTGGCAGCTGACGATGCGCTGCTCGTTTCGCGAGCGATCCGCGGAAATTTTTTGCTTGTTACCTCGTCTTCGTGAAATTTATTGTTTGTCACTTGTTGGCGGGTTCTTTTCACCTTGAGCGGCAAAATAACTTCATCTAGTACGGGGGTAGAAGTTCTTTGGGTTTCATCTACGAGATCTTCTCTGTTGCTTATCCTGTGTAAAAACGCACCCACACCATAGTTGTCATGCTACTCTGCATGCTTAAAATGTTTCTCATGCGGAGCCCCATGAGAAGCATTTTCTAATGCGGTTTGGAAATCTGTAATGCGCCAATCAGCATGAGATACTAGATCTGTAATGCTGCTTAGCTAGCTCAAACAGCACTACACTACGCGTCCAAATTTTTCATGCGAAACAGCCAAAGCTTATGGATTTGTCTAGCGGATTTCCCATCTTGACTCTGGTGTGGGGACATTTTTACTCAGGATATTGTTCGGCATTTCATCTGCAGTCCCGATTTTTACAGCCTGCTCGCCACCCTGCTCGCCGTCCAACTGAGAGAGTGCGTTGAAGAGCTTTAGTTGCTGTTTTTGGTCAAGAACATCTTTCGTCGTTGTCGTCCTCGCAGCCGTCAGGAGGAGCCCTGCCAACAGCCGCACGGTCTGCCCGTTATTCACGTGGTTACTGACCAGGACGAGGCGGGACGCGGTTCGCAGTTGCGCCAACCACTGTTCCGGCACATAGTGCTGCAGCGCGATACGGAACAGCTCGTCCGAACTGGGGCCGTTGGTACCAGAGGTCGGCCCAGCGGCGGTGCCGTAGCTGCGAAAAAACGTTATGGTAACGACTTTTTTTCTACTCATCTGCTCGGCGACTTCATCTATTTGTTCCGTCGAGGAATTTTTATCTGTGCTAGAACTCGTCGAGGAGGAGGATGTTCTACTTGAACTATCGTCAACACTCTTAGCCCTCGAAGAACTTCCGTTGCTCGTCCCCATCCTTGGACTTTTGGGCCAGGCCAGACCCTTGTCTACCCCTTGGTAAACCAACGGATCGACTTCGTGTTCCGGCGAGCTAGTAGTTCCCCCGCAGGTCAGCACATACTCCACATCTTGTTCCTGTGAAGTAGTGTTTTTCGGCCAAGAACGAGGGTGGAGCACGTGATTGTATTTGATGTACGCAGCCGACGAGGACCCATAAAGATTGCTGCTGCTATAAAAACCTGTTGCATTTTGCGCCTCTTGTTCCCCACCACAGCAGTGCAGCAAGCTTCGAAGGGATGCGAGGCTGTGCCAGGAGAGCGGACTGGAAGGTGAGGAGGTATGTGTTTTAGGAGAAATCCATGCCGTGTTGTGGAAATTATCGTGAAGATTAATACTGTCGGAACTGTCCGAACTGGCTGCTGCATCGGCCTCTGCTGTACTACTGCTCGTGGGACTGTAATCTACTTCAGAGTCTGAACTGTCAGAAGTAGACGTGTAGTTGCTTGATACTTTCTTCGCGATAATTTCTCCGGAACGGCCTTGTTCCCCGGCGCGGCCGTGGTCTCTTCCGGTGCTCGCACGCACCACGCACCCATCGCCGCAGAGGATGCAAGCGGTGCAAGAATTCCGCACATTTTTCTGATCGGAGGTAACGCGTCGACGACTCCAGGGCAGCGAAAAATCGTCGTCAGATCTCACAGCTCCATCACCGTCTGTGCCATGATCACCTGCTTCTGGTATTCCGGCCTGACAACCCTGCTCCGCTATGCGGGGAGATGAACCACGACAACGCGTCTTTTCTCCTTCTCTCGTCGTCCGAGAACAACTAACCGATTTGGATAATTTCTGGTGCAGCCCAGGATCCTGGTGCTGCTCGACTTCAATCGCAAACATGGACTCGTGTTCGTCCAGTTCCCACGGTAGGTGGCAAAGCAGCGCGTACCGCTTCCCGTCATGCAGCTCGTCTTCCTTGCACACCCGTCCCCGCCGGCCCTGCTCCCAAAACTTTCGCTCCCAAATCGCCTTGTCAAAAAACTGCTGCGGCCGCGCGGTGCGCAGCTTCGTCGCGAAGGCAATGTTTCGCTGGGACACATAGGCTCCGAGCTGCTTGAAAAACTCGGAATAGAGGTCAGCTTCGCTTTCTTGTTGTTTGGCCGCTTCGGTGTCAGCAGCAGCTTCGTTTTGTACTATTTTTATCCCATCTGCCACGACGGAAGTCCTTGTTGTGCTGCCGCTGTCATCTTCATCGTTCTTGTCCCCGGCAGTAACAGGAGCTCCTTTATCAGCGGTTATTGAAAGAAAAAACTGTGTTAGTGTAGGTATTTCAGAAAGTGCGATATTTTTTCATAGCGAAAGTTCAAGATTTTTTTAAAAGCAGGCACGTCCGGTTTTCTTAATGCTTCCTGTGTTGTGGTGCTTGGAATGCAAGTAGCTAGCGGTTGCCTCGGTAATAATTGTCCTGAGCTAGTTAAGGAGGCAGGACTCATGTTTCTGCTTCGAAACCCGATGGGCATCGTCGTAGTACTCCTCCAAGTCGGCACTTGTTGCGTTTTCATTTTGAGAAGAGAAAAGTCCGAAGAGTTGAAGGCGGAAAATATAATTTTATGAGTGTAAGCGCAACGCTAAGCCTTCAGGTCGCGTTGAAATCGAGGCGCTTTCTCGACCCCCCCTGACCACCCCCCCAGCGCGAAAGTGAAAATGTTACACTCGCAAATTTCTCTTTCCTAATCCCCACCTATAAAAAGAAAAAAGAAGCAGTGTAAATGGCCATCTTGGAAAAGTGATCCGAATGAGTGTAGTGCAATTTCTGGGGGTCCTTTTGAGCCCCCCAAGGAGAAGAGTTTCTCTGCTACACTCGTCGTTTTCCCTTTTCCGGGATGTGGCCTACACTTTCACTGTTCTGTTTTCCCTGCCCGAATTGCAGTCAGCGCCATTCTCGCGCGGGTTCTGGAACTTTCGGCCTCCTTATACTTTCAGCGTTCGGGCTTTTGGAGTCCTGCCTCCTTAACTATTCACATGTACCGAAGCAGCCGTAGCTAGTTTTGACTACATCAATTCGCCTCATAAACGTCAACACATACCAGGTCGGGCATTGCGCCGCAGCTTGAGAATTGTTTAGTTTTGCATATCAAAAAAAGTAGTGATTTTTGCGACACCTACACTAACGCAGTTTTTTTGTGCTTATCCCCGGCAGTAACAGGAGCTCCTTTATCAGCGGAAGTGGAGGATTTATTTTTCCCCGCCGGTGCGTGCAACTGCGCGGCCTCCGTCACTGGCCCAGCGTGCTGGTAGGGAAGTGAAAGAAATCTGGCGCTCCATAGCAATACCAACGACGGAAAGACCGGACGGAGACGGCGCATGACAGATTTCCGTACAACTCACTTGCATGATTCTACTCTACGGCCGTATCCGCTCGGAGCGGGCTGAAGTCGTGCAATTTTGGGCAATAGAATCACGTGATTTTTTTCCCTTGTACTGAACACGAAAATAGGACCTCTTCGACGTGATTGAGTGCAGGTCCTCGTTGAGTTGCTCGCGCACGGGCCCCGGCCAACAAGTTTTCTATACGATGTTTTTCGAGACACCGCCACGCAGGTTGTTTTGTTTTTCCGCGTGTGATATCAAAACAAATGACTTTATTCTCCTTGTCCTGATCAGTTCTTTCAGTACCTCGCCTCAACCAAATGCAGGACTCGTCTGCTCGCCCACATCCAGATAAAACACATAAGTTTTAAATTGGAAAGATACGGCATTCAATGCGTCGTAAAATTACCTTATCGTACGTGTCTGAGTTTTCTCTTTTTTCTGTTGTATCGACATACTGCGTTGTAATGTCCTACGTATTTTTCCTCGTTCCCAAGAACGTGCACTTCTAGAGTGTACCTGTGGAAATCGGCCTAGTCATGCGATTATTTCATTTCCACAAGTACATCAAATGCACTGTTTTTGAATAACCTTTGTACACCTTTGCGTTTCTTACTCCTCGAAAAAACTAACATTGCTGCTACAGAAATATTTTTTGCTTAAATAACAGAATAATTATTCTCAGTAAAAATAGACTGTTGTCAGCAGCGAACCACACAATGAACTGCAATTCTTGCTCGCCCAAAATATTGGAAACCCAAAAAAACTTTTCAAAAGCTTGACTTCTCGCCTACTGTATTCTCGTTTTATTCAACCTGGATATCTTATAATCATATTATTGCTGCTCAATAAAACTCATTTCAATTAGTCAGGACTGCTGCACAGCCAGCTGTTCTGGTATTCCTACTGACAATCAGGTGTTTGCTTCTACTTCTAGAATCATCTCTCCTGGCTGTCAGCGAAAAATACACATCACCGACAAGCTGGCCGGAACTCACTATAATCGTAGTGCGGATCGCTACAATCTATTTCTCCGGCGCAGTCGTGCAGAACTTGTGGCAGTAAAAGTAATCGGGCAGAATTGTCAAAAATGCAGTGGCAAAGCAAATACACGACCCGGGGGCTTCCTTTCTGCGATAAATACTCACAAAAAGGACAAGAAACACCGCGATGGATTCTAGTGGCGCCCCCACTTTGTTTTTAGTATCTTAACTATTATGCAGGTGCCAATGCCCATACTGTATGGTCTTCGTCCGTTCACGGACCGATGGGTGCCTACAGCGGCCCCCGCCCCCGAAGGGGGGCAAGGTCGCCGTTTGGTGGTGCGCGAGCACACACCCGAACGCTGAAACGCACCGCGAGCGTCCTTCAGAAGTGGCGGGGCGGGCAGTGGGCCTCACCCCTAGAGCACACATAGCCTTCGGCTCTGATGTGAGCTAGACTATACTCCCAATCGTGCTGCCTGAGGCCCGCCCTCCCGCCAGTTGTGATGCCTTTGCGGGGCTATGGTAGTGCCATACTTTCAGAACACTGTGGTAACTGTGGGGCCACGGAATCGTCCGGGACGCATGGTTTGCTGCATGCGGTTTCATTCATTTGGGTAAGCGTGTGTGCCTTCAACCGATGTTGAATTGCATCACTCATCTGCGGATCAGAATGAAACGAATCATCATTCGAATTTGATGGAGATCGAGACTAGAAGGAATCGCTCAAATCAGATGCAGGGAGAGAAATGGGTACTCGATCGAAGAAATATATATTTTTTGAAAAGAATCTGGACGATGGGACTCATCCCACGATAATATTTCTTGGAATTCAGAAACAGAGCAGCTTGATTTGTCTGTCTGAGGTTCTTCTACCTGAGCCGTGTTTGACGGCAGTTCGCAATACGGCACTTTCAGAAACACAACATACAGGCTGAGGTCCGGGTTTGTCGCTTTTGGATCACGAGAGAGACGTGGTCAGCGAGGTCTAAAAAGTAGCGCATTTCCGTTGTGATCGCGAGAAAGTCTTCTACTAGCGCGCGCGAGTCAGTGTTGCTGAGTCTCGACGCATGTTCTTTCAGTAGATCTCGCGTGCACTGCAGTCGTTTTTTGGCATCCTCCAGGAGACGACCGATTACATCTTCCTCCACCGGTGGCACAGCTGCCAGGCACCATGGCGACACGCAGTGTTCTACTACACGGTAGGTCGGTGTGTCGGCACCTGTAGTGTTCTTTCGCTTATGCATGGTTATGGAGGGGGGCATGGAACTAGAAGTGAAGTTCTGCATCATCACTAAGACATCACAAAATAGGGAGAGACTATACCTTTTTTGTGTGGGGTGGGTGCTTGTGGTGTGTGTTGTGCCGTTGGTACCGGTGGTGATCGGGCGGGCGCCAAATTACCTGTGTTTCGAGTTTGAGCTGATCGAATGCATCGCATGTGACTGCGCGCATACCAAAACACAGGCAACAACAGGCCAAGACCTAAGAAAAAATAAGAATACTTCTTCTCGGTGTCCTGTTTCTTGGTGTCATCGCTGGTCCCGATAGTTGTCTTCGAGGAGGAGGATGAAGACGCGGGCGTCGAGGGCGAGGGGGCAGATTCACGGTCGTCGCAGAAGAGAATGAAGTCAACGGCTTCCCGGCCGTCGGTCCAGGGGTAGAGGGAGCCGGTCGGGCTTGGTCGCCTGATCGTCGTAGCGGGCACGGGACGCGGAGAGCCGCGCAAGCGTGGTGTCGAGGCACTCCTCTTCGGACAGGCATTTCCGGAGGAATATCTTGCTGGCGCGCTCATTGAGTGCTTTCTTCAATTTCTCATCTTTGCACGCAGAGATAGCCTCGCGATACGAGTCTCTCCATAATTTATCGCTCTGCGCCTGGACACAAACAAACGCATCATGTGAGATTATTTTCTGCATGGAGACGTAGTTGTAAAAGAAGATGGCGGCACTCTTTTCAAAATCCTGAGAGAACTCTTCTGGCGTCATCGGACTGCTTTCCTTCTTAAAGGGCAACATGGCTACTACGTGGTCCTATGATGTGTCGCTGTGCTGTGGTCCCTGCTCAAGAACAAGACAGAGCATTTTTTTTTTGGAAGAAAAAGCAAAGCGCGCTCGAAGTCGGCGCTGTTCGACAGAAACTGACCTCTTTGTTTTTGAAAAAATTCTTTTCCATCAATATTCATCTTTGTCGATCGGTTGGTGAAGTTCTTCTGTGAGATAATTGAAGGCTTCTTTGGCCACAAATAGTGGTGCGTCTAGATGATCCTTGTAGTCGAGTGTGTACCCACGAAAACTGGTCATCCAGTTGTTGCTGCTCCAATCAAAATGGAGAGAAATGCGCTTTTGTGTCTCATTTGGAACTTGATTGAGCTCTTTGATGTTGCAACGTGCCACTGCCTTGCGTACCACTAACGCAAGCGTTCTTCTGGGGCCATGTCCTGTGGTTCCTGCGTGTTTGGCCGCTAGCGCTAGCTTGGCGGCGGTGTAGGGGAGTGACATGCCGCTGAGTCTCGCTGGGACGTAGGAGGGAAATTGGACCTGCGATACCGTTGAGCTGCACTTGGTTGTCACCAACGCGGTCGCCCACTTTGGGTCGTCTGTGTTGGGCTTGACGATGTCGATTGACTGCATTGAGGCAGCTCGCAGTCCGGAGCAAACCCAGAAGCGTGCAATGTTCTTGTCTATTTGGTTGAGTAGTTTCACCCTGGCCGCTGTCACCGGTTTGGCTTTTGCGGCAGAGAATTGCTCCCGTAGCCGATTGACGGAGTTGGTGAGCAGCTTCATGTTGTCAGTGACTTCCATTTTGCCTGTTGTTGATTCAGAGGATGCGTTTGATCACGAGTTGTCGAATGATGCAAGACACATAGCGACGCAAGGTGCCACGAAAAGAAAGAAAAAGCACCTATTTGCTTTAGTCTGGAGATGACCGCGCAGGTGTAATTTGCCTGGCTTCGGCTCATGTCCATCTCGATGAGGAACTCCGAGACGCTGTAAATTTCTCGCAGGTAGGTGAACGTGGGGCACTGGAGGTGCGTCATCGGTTCGCCGTATTTCGGGATGTAGATTCGGTCGCTGGGTTTGGTGGTGGTTAATGAATTCCACCAGCTAACGAACGACGTCCAATGAGCTTCCCGCTGCTTGACAGATTGATGGGGAAAGCTCGCCTCCATCGGCCACACCCAGAGCTGGTCTTGATACTCGAGGCGTGCATCGGGGTCCCTTGCTATGTTTTTAGCCCGTGGTGGATTTGCTGACGAGGGCTTCCTCGTACTTGAGCTTGAAGTTTTGGATGCGAGTAGCGGCATTGTCGATCGCTTGCCTGAGTAATTCACCATATTCAGCGGACCTGTTATCGGCGGATGTTAGCTTAAAGAATGCTTGCATCAGAGATAGTCGCGTCAGCGCGTCCGCTGGATTGCGCTTTGTGTTGATGTAGTGAATGACTGGAGTAAATTCCAGCCCCCTCCATAGTTGAGCGATCATCGAAGACAGGACTGACCCGGCGACAGCCGATGATGCTCCGCGAATGATAGCGTATGCCGAGCCACAATTGTCGATGTGGCTGATTCCTCTCGCGTGTCGGATGTAGTTTTGCCAGAACTCTCCTGCGAGATAGACTGCAAGCAGTTCGTACACAAAAATCTTCTCGTCACGTAGCAAGCCCAACTGGAAGCTGGGTGCTGCCTGGAGGCCCGTTCGGGCCATGCGTGAAGTGGTACGAGAAACAGAGAGGGACTGGCTCGTCGGCTGTGAAGATGACTCCCCCAACATATACATCGTTGCCTTCTGCTGCTGCATCAGTGAAGATTTCTACAGTCGCGGCTCCATTCAGGCGCGCCGCAAGAGATAGCGGCTTATTTTCCTTGATAGCTTGCTTCGCCTCTTCAACCATGGCTGCTACTGCTAGCACGTGCGAATCGGTGCCCTGCGTGATGAGGTTGGAGATGACTCGCGGGGCTGTGTACTTGGCTAGTAGGCGCACAGCGGGGCTGTGGTCTAGGCATCTTCTGGCGAAGATGTGACTGCAGGTGACTCCTAGTGCTTGCTGTACGTCGAGGAGGGCACACGATCTGTCGAGGATCGCGCTCTGCATCCGTGTGACTGTGGTCACTGCTTTGGCGACTTTTTCTGGTGCCATTGCGAATGAGACGTCGTCGGCGGAGCTGGTGGCGTCGACGCCTAGCACATCGGTGGGCACATTCCGTTGCGCTATGATGTCTTTCCTGTCGGCCGATGCGAGTCCGAGGAGGCCGAGAAACTGCTTGACTGCCTGGCGCGCTGCTGGGGCCATCCATTCAGGGGTGAACAGGATGACGTCGTCCACATAGCGCAGGCAGCTGATGCCGAGGCATCGCTCTATCATTGTTTCCACGTAGCCGCTGACTGCTCCGCAGTAATGGTATACCGAATGGAGATTGCCGAAGGACATGGCGTTGTTGATGAAGAATTTGTAGCGTTGTTCCTTTGGGTTCCACGCTGCCATGTAGTATTCGCTGGGTTTGTTATTGGGGAGTTGGAAATATGCCTGCCATTTGTCAATTTTGCTGATGAATGGCGTGAAGCCACCTACTCGCTTGGTGCGCCCTTTGATGTTGACGTCCACCATCTTCCAATCCTGCCAGTTGCCGGATCGCTTTCTTTCCTGCTCCAATTGTTCCCTGAGGTGCTTCTTGAGTTCGACCAGGGGCGGGGCCCGTCCAGGGCAGAGGCATGCGCGGCATCTCTCAATGCAGACTGGGAGGTGGGGCATCGTCATGTGTTCTCCGTAGGCCGACGCCACTTTGTTCGCGTGTTTTTCGTTGGCGATTCCTCTTATCTTGGAGAAGTGCTGCTTCTCGTGGTCCCATCTTTGGCCGATGTGGAATATGGGGATGACTGTTTTCCCTAGCATCTGCTCCGGTGTTGCATCGGCTCGCATGAGAACAGGGGCAGAGTTCGGGTCGTCTGGGTTGAATATGTTGCCTTGGAGCTCGTCCCAGCCGCGCTGGAGCATCTCCGGCGTCTCGAAGGTGTGCGGAGTTGTCCTTGTGAAATTGAGCTTGGCAAGGGCGTCGTCAGTTGCTTCCTGCGTGGTGGGGCAATTTAGGTAGCGGACGGTCTCGTCGGGGGTCATGTCCTTGGCTCTGTGCCAGATTTTGTATAGCTCAATCGGTCCGCGGTGCGGAAATCCCGTGCTGAGGTAACCTTTGGGACCATATACCCGATCTGCCATCGTTTCGAGCGGTGGTTCGTCTTCCGGACCGGGCGGCGCCAGCTGATCGAGTACTACTTTGTTGATCGTGATGGCGTGCTGGAGGTAGTCGTGGCGTTTGGCGAGGTTCCACCACATGAGAGGCTGCTTGACATATGTTTTGGTCTTGCATATGTCTGGCCGATCCCGCGCGTAGAATTCGTGTAGTGCTTGCAAATGAGGCACCTTGGCCCGCTCTGCTTCATATTGCGCGAGGAGATCCTGTTGCTCGGGTCGCACCGAGTTGCTGCGGACGTCTTCCAGGGCCATCTGGAGGCGCTCCACCCTTTCCAGTTTTTCCTGTGGTGGGTGGTAGTATGCGTTGCCTATGAAGGGGGCTGAGATATGCATAGTAGGTCTTCCGATTACCAACATGAGCGCTGTACTTATACCTGATCGGACGGCGCGGCGTATTTGGCTAAGTCTGCGATGACTTCCTCCGGGGTCGGGGCAAGAAGCGACATGGTGACTGCAGCGAGACACGAGAGGGCGAGGCGTGGCATTTTCATTTGCTTTTGGGGTAAAGTACTAGCGTAAATGGCGAGTTGCTGCTGCTATTTTGCAACTGTTGGCGCTTCGACACAGGTGCAACGAGATCTGGGCTCGTGGATCCGATGACGAACGTGTAACAGAGCTGCATTTTCCGAATGACCACGACACGCGATTGAATGCTGGGAACACTTGCTTACTTTGTCTTTGTACAAAAAGCCACAGCCAATGGCGGAGGTTGCAAACAACTGTGCTGCGCGCGAAGACGCTGGCGATATTGTGTTCTGATGGGGTATTTACGCCTTCACCTTGTACAGAGCAGCAATCTTTTTGGTTTCTTTATGTCGTGACTCGCATGGTCGAGAAACTGCGACTTTGCCTTTGCCCTTGACGTGCTTAGATTTGGGTCGACATTGAGTCAACTGCTCGCTGCCATCCTTGGTTGTGCGTGTCAAGCCCATTTCTCTAGCTACATCGCATATGCACACGCCAGGTTGGCGCAGCCGTACTTTTGGATCTGGTCCATCAAAACTATCAGCTATTTGACAGATAACCTGATTCTCAATTTCATGAAAAGTGCTGGCTCGAGCTTCGCCTCGTTCTTTAAACGATTTCTTCTTCTCCTGTTCCGCCTTTTTCTTGGCTTGTTTCTTGGCTTTCTGCTCCCGCAGCCGCTCCGCTTTAGTTTTAGCCGTGGTGGTTGTGGTCGTAGTCGTAGCAGCTTTTGTTGTTGTAGTAGACGCTGCTGCGGTGTTGCTCACTGATGTACCGAAGGAGAAATCCGAGGTGAAGGACGGGGGGACGCCGCCTGCGTGGCCCGTGCCGCAATGAATGTGTAGGTGTTGCAACGACTTCACATATTGCGCCGGGGACGGCTTGCTCGATGGGTTCTCTAGCAGCAAGAAGTTGATGACCTCGTGAAATGCGACCACCGGGTTGATCTTCACCCAGGTCCCCGCTTTGGGAATTTTGCAGATTGACGCCCGCATGCGGTGGCATTGCTCGTAATCCTGGTTCCAGAGCTTGAACACGTAAGGCGTTAGCAGTACAATCGAGGCGACACTGAAGTCTTTTAACGTTTTCTTCAATGTCGGCTCATCTGCGACTTCTTGTCCAGTTACTTGAGACGTTGAGATAGCCGCTTGCTTGCACTGCTGCCTGGAACTCCTTTTTGGCCGTGGAGAGGAGTTCATACGTGACGCCGAAGAACGATGGTTGTAGTCCAGCACCGCTGACCGCTTGTCGGAGAGACAGGGCGACGAGGATGCTGATCATCTGGTCTTTGTGCTGGGCGCCGATAATCGGGGCAGTCCACATGTCTTCTACCTTCGTTTTCGCTTGTGCGCGCGTGTAGGGCACGTCGAGGGCCGGTTGATTCGTCGCGATTGCTACTAGTGCTTGTTTCTGAATCCGCTCATCGTTGTCGTCTCCGGAAATGAGAGAGGAGCCTTCGTGCAATGTGTGGAATATGTTGCTCACCTTTGCATATTTTTCCGCGGTCCAAGAGCGGTGGCCGTCGACAACTTGCATGAGGTGGCAGAACAGTACTGGGCTGAGTTTCACTGTCACACTGCCCACCGTCACGTAGAAGTGCGCGGAGTCAGCTTCAAAGTGCGGGGTCTTGTTGTTGTAGTGGTCGTAGTTTATGCCGATTGCTTCTTTGTAATATCTCCGGTTGGTGAGACGGCACCGCTCCCTTGGCGCCGAGTCTGTAGCTGACTCGGCGCGACCAGTAAGCGCGGTGATGAGGCGGCTGATCGGATCCTGATCATCCTGCTCATTGTTCCGTCGTTGGCGGCTGCGATCGTGACGCCGGCGCCGACTGGGGGACTGGGCTGGTGACTGCGATGCCGACGATATGCTTATGGGTGATCGTTGTCGCTGTCTTGGTCGCCGATCCCTGGTGAATGAGAATGGGTCGCCTCCTCCTTTTCCAGCTCCTTTGGAACTCGTTTGCTGGAGCAAGGTCGTGCTTTGTACTGGCGAGAAGGAGGATCTCCTGTACCGATCGACTGGGTCGCCGGGCGACACAGATCGGCTGCAGGTGCGATGAGATGGGAGGATGTTGGCGGCTAGTTGGACTGGTCTGCTGTGTGGAGCCGTTGCTCTGCTTCCGCGTCCTCTGCTGTCTCTTCTGCGTTGTCGTCTTCCGCGACTGTCGCCTCTGCTGTCGCGGCGTCGCCGGTTGGGCGCCGTACCCGTGGTTTGTTCTAACACGGTGGGCACTGCTGCTGCCGTGGTCGAGGAGGCCTGCGGGGGGTCCGTCTTTTTGCGCCGTGTGGTAGCAGCGGCGGTTTTTCGAGGCTGAGATGTGGACCGCGCGGCTGTTGATGTACGCTTCTTAACCGGTTTCTTCGCCGATGGCTCCTCTTTCTCGGATTGGGCAGTAGATTCTGCTGCGCTGGTGGCATTGGTTTCTTCTGCTTCGATGTAGTCGTCCGAGAGTTCCTCGCCATCATCCTCTTCGTCCTCGTCCTCGGACGTGGTTGCTTCGACCTGATCAAAGGGGACTTCTTTGCGCTGGTCCAGATGGATGGGATGGAGATCGTCGTAGTGCTGCATGGCCTGCATGTCATTCTCCACCAGAAGTTTCCGGAGCAGGTCATTTTGTTTTGTGAACTCAGCGCCTGCTGGCTTGCAATGCTTCGGCTGGTAATACCTTTTTCGGTTGGTCTGCCCCAGGTGCACGGCCGCCCTGTGGAAGTGCCTCGCGTGCTCCCTCATCGTCCGGCTGTTGAGATCCTTGTGTAGCGGCCATATGATGCGGCAGAATTCCAGCCAGTCGAGGTACATCAGGTACAAAGTTGGTTCCAACTGCATGGGGCTTTCCGGAAATTGGTGGAGTTCATCAATGACGGCGCCTTGCATCGGCACTTGTGCATATCGCGCGAAGCGTCCCTCTATGTGTTCTGCTAGCCAGTTCGGGACACATCCTGCTCGTTTTGCATGATACCAGGCGTATCGTACTGAGTGGGCTGGGAGTTTGAGGTCTTTCGGTATCACCGTCATTAGCGTTAGTGACGTCTGGTCTCTCGCCGGGGCGGATAAGCAAACTGCGTCGCTCAGTATGTCGCCGCGTACCACGCTGTGATTAGTGTGTGATGGTTGATATTGCAATAATGTGCGCTCAGAGGTCTGCTCTCATTAGTGGCATTCGCATGACACGGATCTGCATGACAGACAAAGAGTAGAGAGAGGGGAGGGGGGGGATATACCTTTTCCAGTATCGGTCACTGCAATGCTTGTTCGTGAACGCGTGCCCAAGTGCATCATCACCTGGGTGCTGTGGATAGGTGAAGTCGGGTCGTCGTGTCGCTCCTGTCAAAAGTGCTAATCCCGCATTCTTCGGATAGCATCTTACTCCCCAGTCCCCAGCGTCCAGGGACGCTGGGCACCTGTCTTTGTGGACGTTGATGAACAATTTGGATTGCAGGTCTCGGAGAGCCGACGCCGATGGTGCTCGGTCAAGTTGCACTTGTACTAGTTCGAATCGACGCATTATTTCTTGGAACGGGAGTCCACTGCTAAATGTGATGCTGTAGCCATCAGCTCCTTTTGGTACTCGTTCTTGCAATCGGCCCCAGTAGTCCATGCGGTGGCTGTCGACGTAGACGCGCTGTGACCAGCTGAAACCTGTTGAGCTTGCTTCGATCACCGACTGGGTCAATTTTCAACGGCGGGACCTTGAAGGGTTGCATCGTGGGTCTGTCGGCTGCAATGGCGTTCTTCAGGATGCCTCGCGGGAGTACCTCCGCTGTTGTGCGCTCCTCCGCTTTCGGCACCGGTGGGAGTGCTGCCGCGGGTTGTGCGAAGACAGAGGATGTTGCTGGCTGTTTATCCGCTGGGGGGGCCGCATGCTTCTTCGGCCGTCCTCTGGACTTTTTGGACGCGTCTTCTTGGTCCGAGCTTTTGCTGCGTGATCGCTTGTTGCCTGTGCTGGCTTTTTCTCCTGTGTCCGCCTTTTTGCTGCGAGCGGTTGTTTTCTTTTCGGTATTGGCCTTGCTTGTCGCTGGCTTGGCCTCCTCATCCTTGCCTTTTTGCTGGGAGGTACTGCTGGTCGCTGTGTTCTTTGCTGTGTGGTCGCTTTTGTTGCTGCTCTGTTTGCCGAACAGGTCGAACTCGTCGTCCTGCGGCGCCAACGAGGAGCATCGATTGCGAGTTGTTCCTTGGTCGCTCCGGATTTGTTTTCCCAGATCGAATATGCTCGGTTGTGATGGGTCGAACTTGTAGTCGGCGAGCGTCGAGGTGACTCGGCGCGGCGAGGAAGATTTCTTGATTGGGGACGGGCCGAGGAAGAGCGCCGTAGCTGTTTTTTCCCTGTTGATGAAGTTTCCTAGTACCGGGGGATGCGACTGATCAAATGGCACCGACGAGCTCTTGATACCGAAGAGAGAAGAGGAAGCAGCTTGTTGCTGTTTGGCTCTCTCCCGCGCACGCTCCTCCTGCTGTGCTTTGATTTTCTTCACTATGCTGTCCATCCTTTCTCGATCGTGCGGTCCGATGGTCGTGGTTTGTTTCGGCGCCTCTGGTTCTGTCGGGGCGGGAAGCTTGTTCTTGGTGTCGCCTGAAGGCGGTAATGGGGGCACGCCAGCCTCGGTTTCTTGCGTTTCAGCTGGTGGCTGCTCATCTATGATACCTGCAAAGCCAAGCGCTTGATATTATCACACCATCGTGTAGCAGGGTGCCACGTGGGCCCACCATGGGAGGGGGGGGATTGCATGACAGGCAAGGCGGGTTTCATTCCATGCGATACATCCTTGCTCGCATGCAAGAGTCGATTTTGATTAACACAGAGTCGATTTTTTATACCAGCTGTAGACGGCGAAGTGGGATTCATGCGGAGTCTCACTGTCTTCTTGTCCTCGGTCTCCTTACCTATGGCGTCCTCGCTGTCGATCGCTTCCTGTAGCATCGCGTGGTCCATTGGATCAAATTGAACGCTGTGGCTAAGTTCGGATTCGGTGATTCTGAACTCAGATGGCGGGTCTGGGCTCAGATCCTTGGGGGGCACGAGGGCGACGCTCGTTCGCGGAGGGGTGCCTGGAACAGTGCGTCTTGGCAGGAGCGGGAGGTCAAATACGGGTGGTGGGCGTACGAGATGGAGAAGGCTGGTCACCTTCGGTGACGACGGCGTAGGTGCGTCTCGGGCGAGAAGCGGGGTATCTGTCAATTAATTCTCCGTTGCAAGCGCTCTGTGGACCGACAACGAGATTTGTTGCTTGACACTGTTTCTCACATCAGCTGTTGTTCGTCGACAACAGTTGGTAGCTGGCGGACGCGACACGCCGTGATGTAGTGGACAAGACTAAGTCGGGACAGCACAAACACAGGGCGGACAAGACACGCCAAAAACAAAAACAGCTCTCACTCACAAATCACTGCACTACGTCCCTATTTGTAAATGTTGCCTGTCGCTGGGGCGTGGAATTGCGGGTGGTGTTGGTACAGAAATTCCTGGCTTCTCCTTAATGGCGGTAAGGCGTCCTTGTCGTTGGGTTGGGGGTCGGTGCGAAGGGGGGCCAGATGCACGGCTGTGTCGACCACGGTGCGCACGGCTGTTTCCTTCTCGACGGTCGCAGGCTGGCTTGTAGCAGCGGCATCGGTGTGCACGGCTGTTTCCTGAGATTTGTCGTAGTCCACGGCTTTTTCCTGAATTTTGGCGCTGTACACGGCTGCTTCGTCCGATACGGCCATGCGCTCGGCAAAGGGGGTTGTGGCAGGGGGGTCGTGCGCGGCCTTCTGGTCCGCTGGTGCTGGCTCGTCTACTCGGATCTCCTCTTGTAGCTGCAGCTTATCTTCTTTACCTGAAGGAAAGAGATTGATAATTTTTTCTGACGCAAGTGGCTTGATCGTAGGGGCGAATCAATATTCCAGGACAGATTGCTTACAACAATTTTTTCCTTCTACAAGCGCGCGCTGATCAGCGTGCAACAGCAAATTGCTATAGAAAGCGCCATACTGTTTTTTCGTCTGCCGGCGGCGCCGGCTTTGGGTGTCGCGGTCTTTTTTTTGTTTTTGGCCATCTTTGTTGATAATTTAACTTTGAGTTTGTGAATAGTAGTTTGCTTCCCGTCATAAACAGCCTAATTGGTGGGTGAATTACGTGTAATTCGGGCCTGCACGCAATAACGCAAGCAACAAAGAAAGAACCGACTCAATCCTGTTGCTTGATCCTGCTGCTTGATCCTGCCGAGTCGCTGGATCATTGATCCCGCTGTTTGATCATCGCGGAACTTGTTCTCTGCGAGCTGCTGCGTCGCGATGAGATCTATTTCTTGTTGGGTGTGTGGCTGCATGGCAAGCTGCTGCGTTGCCGCATGGCCCATGGTTGATCAATGTGGAACTGCGGGCGAACAGGGTGCGAGAGCAGTGGATCACAAAAAAGGGGCAGCAGTGACGTACTGCACAATTACAAAGTCCTATAATTACTTAGTCCTCGGTGATCGCCGGGCGGAATCTATATTCGCCTTGGTCGTACCGCACTGCAAAGCGATACTGACCAAAGTAATCCAATTCGATGTTGCAAGAACGGGGCCTGTGTCCTGCCTTATGCATCAGAGCAACACGCTTCTCGATGCCTTCGCTCAGCTGCTCTAGCGGCACACTTGCTAGCTCTAAGGAGTTTCTCGCTGCGAGCTCATTAAATCGATCGCTCCAAGCATTCACTTTCTCATCAAAGTCGAGCTGGTTATAAAAACCAGAACCGCCAGCGCCAGAGACGCAATTCTGTAAGTCGCACTTCTGCTCGCTGGTTAGCTCGGGGGCGGCAGCATGTGGCTTGTCGGAGGGTCCTCTCACCACGACGGAATTTCTGTGCAGAGTCTGTTTCTCGCCCGTATTTTGCTGCTCGAGTCGTCGCAAATTTTGGCTGCACAGGGCCAACGGTGGAGAGCGCGCCGGCGACTTCTTGTTGCGCTTCGCTTGGCGACTCGCAGTGTACCTGTAGCAAGAAATAAATGGCAATTTGCTTGTTAAAAATTTCCTGGCATACCGAGCACAGCATCAACATGGCTTCACAGAAAGGGCTGAAAAAACACACAAATGAGGGGGCTTTTCGCACAAACGCGCCGTATTCTTTTGCGGCTAGGGCAGTAAGATTACCTTTCTGGCATGCTCCCGAACTCTCGGCCCAGGGCAGCTTCTGCGGCGGCGTCAACGAAGTCCTCGATAGACTCGGTGTCGAGCAAGTCGCTCATGAACCGATCGCACTTCTCCTTGGTGTCGGTTCTGGTGTGGTGCTCCACTATGTACTGCCGCTGGGCCATACTGTACAAGTCCATCTTGAATTGATGAGAAGGCATTACACAAGTTCTCCTATGTTTCTGGTGATTGTTCATTGTGCCGAGCGAGCGAGAAAAGGACAAGATCACAGCGTGGCGGCCGGCATTGCCTTTTTGAGCGTGTCTATCAAGGCCTGGGCCGTCTCGGAGAGATGATTTTGCGCCGCACCACCCTGGAACAACAACGCTCCTGTGGTTCGGTAGTACGTGATCGCGACACGCTGGCCTGCGACCACGTGCGCGGTCCGTAACGCATCACTTTCGATTCTTTCCCAGCATAGGGTCGACTGGCATGTAAGTTCCACGATCCTTACAGCGTTGTGCTCGCTGTGCACCTTAATCGGCATTTTCTGATGCTAAAGAGGGGGCGATCCTGCTAACAATGTAGAAGAACATCGGACAGGGTGATCGCTGTCAGCGCACGCTGCACTGCGAGATCCAAACCGCGGGCACGCGACGTGCTCTTGGTGGTAGCATGGAACAGATCGCGATCTTTCTGGTGCGCAAAGCAAACAAAAAGTCAAAAAAGTGATCGTGATCTCAGTGCGAAAAACGGAAGAGCGAACATCAAGCTTTTCCTCTTGCAAGATCCTGCACACCTTGAGGCGAGTGCTTAGCTGAAGCGGCAGATGTAAGCTAGTGCGCATAAGTTCCTGTGCTGCTGTACAAAGTGAGTTCGGGAGCGATTTACACAAGGTGTCTTGACTGCAAATCTCGTTCGTGGCTGCGTGCATGTCGATGATGGTCACGGGCGAGTGGCGGTAGCGGGTGTCACCTGATGATTGTGCTGTGGTTTATGCGTCGGGCTTAGTGTGCTAACTCAAGAAACACGTCCTGCTGCATGATTAACTAATAGCGTAGTACTGTACCTGTCCGCTGTCCACGGTGGGCGGGTGCAGGTCGTTCGCGAGGGTCGTCAGCGCGTGATGCGACGATGCCAGTCACGTCCATGTCGGTGGTGTTGTCCTGCTTATGCAACAAGGGGAAACACCGCCTGCTGGTGCCTTGCACGGCACCAGCAGGGCGAGAGCCGATTGTCGTGGCTCGCAGCCAACGACAACCGGCAGCCCATACAGGGCGGCACTGCAACACAGCTCCAGGCGAGCCGTCACTGCGTTGTAGTGCGGGAGAGCGGCGTGTGGTGCCAGGGGGGACACCGCTCGCTGCAACACGGCGTCACCGCCGCCGTGACCTGCATGTGTGCACACACGGCACCCCCAGGGGGCAGGTTCGATTTACCGCGTGCAAAGGCACACAGGCCTTCGCACGCGGACGTGCAGGTGGGATCTGCGCGTGCGGTACTGTGAGCTGGCCGTGCGGGCGCAGGAGCCCGCACGTACAACTGCACTCATGCTGGCGGGCACGACCGTGTGCGCGCGCCAACAAGTGAAGCTGCCTCTGTGCCGAGCCGTGCGCACTGGCACACGCATGTGCGCCAACGTGCGCGCGCAGGCCGGCGATCGCGCGCATGCCCGCTGGCATGCGTGCGAGGCAGGGTCGAGAGCGTGTGCACACGGTTGTGCAACCACGCGAGCACGCCTGCGTGACGCGCAGGTCGCGCAGGGCAGGACGGGCGGGTCGTGCGAGTGCAACAAGGCGTTGCCGCCGCTGCCCGACCGTGCAGTGCAGGGGGGAAGGACGGCGTGTCGTCCCACATCACAGTGGAGGGACACGCCGGTGCCACGGGTGGCACGAGAGGTGGACGGGGAGCGCTACGCGCGCCCCCCGGGAGGACGTCAGGATCGCAGGCGCACGAGCGGTGCGCTGGACCCACGACGCCACCCGCGCCGCACTTGGATGTGCGGGCGGGAGGCCCATGCGCCCGACCCTCACCTACGAGGTCGCACGACGCACGGGCCTATGCACTTACACAACCCTATCTGGACCAGACGGGGAAGTGCAAGGCGGCGGGGGCGCGGCAGCTGCCAGAGCAGCGCCCCCTAGGCATGAAGTGTGAGTGCCGACACCGACGCGTGCACAGGTCTTCTAGCCTGTACACCGGTGGAGCATAACACACACGCCTTGCGGTGTCCAACCGCACGTTGCTCGGTTCCCCTCGGGGAAGCTGGCAGCGTAAGAACGCGTGCTGCAGAGGCAGCACTGGGTGCGAAGGGGTGCTCGCGCACCACAGACGCGTGTCGTGAGGGACACAAAGTCGCATCGACGCGACGGTGCTGCGTGAGGTGCAGCGCTGCGTGAGGTGCAGCGTGGCGCGAAGACGCAGCCACAGTGCCGACGGGCACAGATTCATCGCAGATGAACCGATGGTGTACCAAGAGGTGGTAACTTTGTCATCCAGGACAAGAGAAGTTGACCTCTCCCCCGAGGTGGGACGGTCGTTTTGTACCCGAGACCCACCCCCAGTCGCACAGCGAAAGGAGGCAGGGTCGAGCACAAACGACCGGTGGCGAAGGCCACGAAGAGGCGGTGACAGGTTGCCAGACAGGCAGCTGTCGCCGCGTGAGGGTCGAAACCGACACGACAACGAGTGCGGCTGAGCCACACAGTATGTCCAACCAATTCGTCGAGACCGCTTACGCGCGTAAACACCCATCAGACCAAACAGCATGGGCGGCACCTCAGTCTAGTTACCAAGTCCTCAAAAGGCTTTCTTGAGTACTCGCAGAAGTAGCTCGCTTGTTTTGTCGTTGCCGAAGCAGAACAAGGAAAATGGAACCGCCTTAAACATACTCGTAAAAAGAGCACACCTTGTAGTTCTTACAAGCAAAAACTTCTACTCACGCGCGGTTTCGTTTTCGCCCCACTTTTTTTTGGCTGGGTCTTTCCAACGGACATGAACCGCTACGAAAACTCTAAGTCGAGCTTCGCCGGCGCCGCTGGGAAGGTGGTCATGACAGCATGATAGGAATGCCGTCAAGTAATTAAAAAGACAAGAAAATAGCTTCTGTTGTAACGCTTTTTAATCAGGCCCGCCAATACCACATACAAATACAGATCATCATCATTAAGTAGAAGGTGTGATTACAGATAGAAGTCAAAAGAAGTTGCAATTTTGTTTTTTTTCGTAGTTTCCGACTTTTCGGAACCACTCTTAGCCACTCTTTCGTGGTGTCAAACAATTTTGGTTGCACGGGAAAATAAAAGAAGGATAGTTACAAGACTGTTTGTTGCATAGATCTGTTGTTATTCAGTATCGACGTGTGCAAAACTACATTGCAAAAAGCAACATGTGCGGAAGTTTTTCATTCAAGCTGGTCTTCACGGGAGATGATGCACTTGGTGCTGGTCGTGTTTCATTTTTCAAAAAGAGTGCATCAGTAGTCGATCCTTATTTTTGCGTAGCGGAAAGGTTGAAAATATAAAATGTTGCTTTTACATACAGATCCCGTTGGGGAGAAATACAAAGTATCATATATAGAATTATCGGCATGCTATGTAGCATTCAAGACGTTCGCTCATGGCATTGCACTTTTATGGTGGAACTGCACACGAACAAAACCAAGGCGTGAGGAGGCGTGGCTTACTATAAAATAAAAATGCAAATAAGTCTAGGTCTGGAAAAATACTGCAGAGTTTTTTGTCATTCAGCTTGTTCATGCTCCAAGAGGTCAGGAATGCAGGAGAACCTGGCATGAACATGATCACAGGCATCGCGCATGACGGTGCTCTCCCAACATCCCGATTCCGCATGCGAAATCGTCCATAATTCTCAGATTGAGATTGACAACCAATCGACGCACATATAATTCCGCTGTTCGTGCAAGACAAATTTTTACGACAATCTTCGCAGAGCTCGCATCACAAGTTTGCATCAACGCCGACCCAGACTTGTATTTGCAACGGATAGATACTATTGCTACGGAGTTGGAGGTGTGGCTTCGGGGAGTGTGAACGTGCGAAGACCAAGACCCAAACAAGAAACGATCCAAGTAGAACAATCTGTAATGCCTATTTGGTACCTTGTGTGGGTAGCTTTGCTTGTGTGTCACGGAAATTTATTTTCTTATTCTTTAGCCATTAAGGCTGGTCTCTGTAGGGTTGTGTTGCATCACATGCATTACAAACCACTTAGTTTCTCATACAGTTTCTTATACTGTCTCTGTGTGCATCATACGATTAGGTGTAATCTTATGCACATGATCACTCATCTGATTTCCATCCTGTGTCATCGTATACTTGGATCATTCACATTGGATCTTGGAGCACTAGGCGATTACCGCGCAATAACCTCCCCGGCTCCTAGTCCAATAGAATGTCCTTCAGAAAATGGAAACAGAGCGATAAACTCTTTTTTCGTGTATCTACAATTGATTTCTTTTCTTCAAAATTATAGTACTAGAATGTGTATCGACAGTGTACTTTTAGAAGAAAGAACTTGTTGCTACGAGTGAAGCCCGGTGGCATGCTAGATAAGGGTAGACGATTACAGTTCAAATCGTATCGACTCTACATCCACCGCTCTCCTCGTGCTTTTACGGTCTTGATACCCGTGGAGCTACATCACCCAATTTTTGATGGTGTGCATTCTCCTCTTCGGGTTTTGGAATTTAATTTTCCGGCGTTCCGTCTTCGTCAGACCGGAACTCCATCGGAGTTAGATTCTTCAAATCCAGTTTTCCGCTACGACGTTCCTGAAAGTATAGTTGTTTTTTACTGCATTTCAGTGATTCCATTCATGCGGCAAAATGCTGTGTGCTCTACTCCAACGCAAACTTTTGTCAATCCGTTTGACTTGTTGGAGGCAGATTCAAAGTACACAGGGAGCAAAAGACCGCTTAGAGTGAGCTTGCCTTTCAAGATTTCTTGCTTGTTCCTGTAGACAAGAACTCGGCGCGTACGCAAGTAACGAAAGATACGCTTCAACGCGGTCAGCGTTTCTTCGTTCGCTTTTGCTTTTGCACAGAATTTCAATGCTACTACGATGTCAAGGCGCGTGCTAGTGGCAAGGTAGTTCAAAGTGCCACAGTATTCCTGCTTTAACTTTAAAAGTGCGGGCTTCTCTTCGTTCGAAGGGTTTGGAGCGGTTGACATGGGGCTCAGTGCTGGCTTCCCATTTATATTCCCGCCGAACCGCTCTAAAGCCTTAGTCACGTACGCATCCTGGGATAAAGTAATATCGCCAGTATTTTTGTCCTGCAGCAGCGCAATACTGAGCAAGTCATAGATACGGCGCGTAGCTGTTTCTTTAACTTCTTCAAGAAACAGACGAAGAGGCACTTCTAGGTCTTGCCTGGCTTTTTCACAGGAGGCGCGCGGGCCGAAGAACCAAAAATTGTCAACGAAGACAATTAAGATTACATCCTGCTTATGCCAAAGCGTTGGCTCGCATGGGTTGCGAGCCCATCCTACTTCCAGCAACTTTTCGTCGCGATGTCTCGACCAAGCAACGGGCGAGAGGCGCAAGCCATTGAGGGCATACAAAACAACGGCGTACTTATATCCGAGCTGTTTCTGCAATCGTTCGTCTAACGCTACTAAAACAAAAGCAGGGCAACGCGACTGCAAAAATGCATTGCGGGCATCCGCGGGCAGCATGCAGATATTCGGATTCTGGCAGCAGATTGCGACAAGCAGACGCAAAATGCATAGGTCCGGCACTTCTGCAAATTTTCCTTCGTGGCTGGAAACATAGCCCATGTAACCCAGGCACACGATCCGGCATTTCTTTCTCTGGTCGCGTTTCACGCTGAGAATCATGCGGCAAGGAATAAATCTATTGCCTTCAGCCATCCAGTTTTGAATTTCTTCACTGGTGGCGGCTCGGAATACGTGCGAGTGCGCTTGCACTTCTTTACCGATCGCTGCAACCCAGTCGGGCTGATTATCAACTTCCGAATCTTTCACAGAAGCTGACGCGATGGTAGCCTTGAAGCAAAAAGCTACTTCATGCTTTTCCCAGTCTGGACACAGAAAGGGATAAACTAAGTTGCTAAGTTCTTCATCCTGCTCGATCGGCCCCTCGGGATCGATCTGAGCCTGACTAAACAAATCCTGGGCGATTCGCTGGCGCTGTTGCTCTTTGAGATGAGCATACTCGGGCTGACTATCGATAAGTTCACGGATTTCGTTTATGGCCTCATTTCTTTCACGCCAAGCTCCTCGAATCGGTCCTGCGTCGGCCGCGATTCGCTGCAACTTGCGCTTTTCTTTGCGTTCAAGATTGCGATATATTTCTTGCGTGTAATCCTTAGTGAGTCTGAAAAATAGATACTATTGCTACGGAGTTGGAGGTGCGGCTTCGGGGAGCTTCAACATCCCCTGCTCCTTGAGTTCCTTAAACATCTCCTGCTGGATATTACAACGAAAAATGCCCCCACCCCAGAACTTGCAGAAGTTTCTGATGCAAACTTTCCGAAAGAAAAGTTTTTGTCTTGCATGGAAGGACTACGATTCTTTCTGATGCAGAATCTAGGCGATCAAGGTATCTTTTGCATAAGAGATCCGACTGAAGCTGGGCTCTTTGCAATACAAATTTTAGGTATGCAGCATGGAAAATTTGTGATGCTGATATATGCAAGACGGGGAATGTTTCTATTCGAAAGGTTTGCAACACAAATGCTGCCAAGTTCGTGGGTGGGGCATTTTTCAGTTTGATACTCGATCTTCTTGGCCTCTTCGACGAGCCCCTCTCGCGGGACGATGTAGATCGGGTGCGCGTTCTTGTGCACAGGCTGGGATGAAAAATGTTGACTCATTATGTTTTCAAATGCGATTGTCATCTCGTGCGTAGGACGACCACACAAAGATTGTTTGTTTGTGTTCTCCATGGAGAAGATGACGAGTAGTAAAAATCTCGCAAAATAATCAAACAATCTTCATAACTATTGTCAAGTCAATCCTTCTGTATAATACTCTTACCCCCTTCCTGATTCCGTCGGGATCGACGCCCACGAAGGGCTGCGGTGCTTTCCGCGGTTGGAAGCCGCACAGCATGCTCATGTGATTCGCGATGTCGGAACAAGGAGATGCTGCGGACAAAATACCACTAGCACCATCTGCTCCACCCAGCGACGCCCAAGGTCCTCCTCCTCCCAACTTTGCGGCCCGACCGCCCGCCGTGCCGCATCCTAGGTCACTCAGCACGTTGGAGAGGGATTCGCTCAGGGAAAAGTCGGAGAAGCGACTCTGATGTGGATCTTGTTGTGCAACTCCAGGCGTGCTTGATATATGCTCGTTGTCCCGTGCTGTTGTAGTCGTCCCTGTGCTTGCTGTTCCTGAGTCTCCTGCATAGTCCCTGTAGTCGTGCAACATGGGACCTAAGTGATCGTGCGTCCGCGCGCGTGGGCGGGGCTCCCCCGCTTCGGGTGCAACGTCGAGCCGCATGCTCTTCTGCTGTAAAAGCGATCCGCTTGACGCGCTGCGAGACAGGTGGGCGGGCTGTCGTGTATTTTCATGTTGCACGACTGGAGTCGTTGTCGTTGTGCCGGCTCCTGGTGCAACAACATCGCTGTGCGGAGCAACTTGGCGCTGCTGTTGTGCCTCCTGTTGCGGCTGTCGCCCCTCCCACGAACTGCTGCTTGTGGTCGACGTCGTTTTATTGACCTGCAGCATTCTCAGACCCGCCCGCAGCTGCTCCAGCTCCGTGTCCCAGAGAAAAAAACTAGCAGGAGGGCAGCACATTCGATGTACTAGTGCAAAACCAACTACTGAGGCAACAACAAATTATGTACCTACCTAACTATTTTTGGGTACTACTTTTTACAAAAAATATGCAACCTCTGCTAGCTTTTTTCTGTACCATACTCGGGATCCTCTACTTGGTACCGCTGCAGATCCCCGTCAGACGTGACCACTTTCAGTGGCTGGTTGGGTAGCGAGCCGCTAATCGCTGCTCGCTGTGCGCACTGTGCCAGTGCCGATGTCAGGGCCGGGGATAAGGGGTGCTGCTCCTGCTGCTCGACGAAAGGCTCAACTTCCTCGTATCCCACGAAAAAAGTGTTACACATTTGTTGTCAATTTAGCAACACAAATTTCTCTGGATTAGAGAGAAAACTTGCAATGCAGAAATCCTAAGGGAAAACGCCTATGAAACGAAGCTCCTATGCATATCCGACATGACAGAGCTGGTCTGTCTTGCTTGGCCTGCAACACAATGTGTAACTGTAACACTTTTTTCTTGCGATACCTCGGCCAGTGTGCACAGCCCGTGCGGCGCGGACATGCTCGCCCGACGCAGCAGATGCGGCTTGCTCAATGGATTGGGCAGCTGAGGCGGATCTCCTTGAAGGTGCGAAGATCCTGCTGTGGAAGGCGGTGCAACTCCGGCTTCGCCGCGCGCGGCCGATTCCTGATCGAGCAACTGTTTCTGCAGCATCTCCAAATTCTGAATGCAGTCGAGAACACGCTGATGCTTCTCGAGAAGGTGCAGTTCGGTCTGCTTGGCGTGCGCGGCCCTGAAAGATGAAGAACAGCAAAATGCCGGTTGTAGTTGTTCCCACGCAGGAGCGGCCCCAACCGGGAGTCCAAGAGGAGTTGCCGGGCTTTTAACCAAGGACGGAATCAGGCTGGGCGAGGACGGAAGGGTATTCGAACGGCGCCGAGGATAAGAGTGCGCGGGAGCAGCACCAGTAGCAGCAGCAGCCCCACCGTTATTTGCACTGCCCGCGGCTTGTTCCACATAGTGCTGCAAAGTCGGCAAATCCTGAGAAAGACTTCTAGACGCGCCGGAGAGCGGCTGGAGGGTGTTGTACTGCGCTGCGGAGCCGATCCCGGAGGATGCTGCTGCTGGTACAACTCCACCAGCTGGCAATTGCAAATTCTGCTGTGACATAACGTTCATGACCCCCATTTGGCCGCCGTCCCAAGTGTGCAAAGCGCTCGGCGCGGACTGCGCGTTGCGGCGCATCCCCAAGCCTCGCGGGTGGTGGTCTTGCTGCGAATAATATCAACTGCAAAAATGTCTGGGTCTGGAAACTTGTAATGCTGTGTTGGGAATAGCGAATGCTCTGTAATGCACAGCCAAGCATGAGAAATATCTGCGCTTCTTTGTGTTATTTTTTTCCTCGCATGAGAAACTGCGTTTTTGCATGACAGGCAAAAGGGTCTCTTCTTGGACACGCATCACAAACTTTTTTGTCATGCCAGACAAGCATGACAAATCTCGCAATCTTCCAGACCCAGAAATATAATTTGCAATCCATAAATAAAACGACGCGGCACTTCTATGCGAGGGGGCCGGTCCTGTGCCCGAGAACGTGAACGGAGGACTGGCGCCGGGGCTGGCAAGCGTGTTATAGCCGGTATCCAGGTCGGGCTCCGAAGCGGGCGGGTGGGGAAATGTTTCACCCGGAAAGGAGGGTCCTAAATTGTAGATTTTGATTTGATTTGTGAGTTGTATATCATAATTATTGCGTTGGAAAATTGATTGAGTGGTTGTTCACGAGCTCATCCTAGCGGTCGTGGTTTGCAGCTTCTATTCTACGCTAGTATTTTTTTTTTCTTCCACAAGCAACTATGTTTTTCCATGGTCTCGTCGCAGTCGCTAGAGCGGTGCTGTGGGGAAAAAAAAAATAAAGAACCCAAGAAAAATTTTTGGAGCTATACGTCGCAGCTCGTCACCACCGTGAGCAAATCTACAATTTTCTCCAGCCTGGCAGTGGCCATATCGGTCGAAAGTCCTGTTGTTTTTTGCCAGTAAAATAATATCACTAGGCAACATTCCTGCGTTCCGTTGTCTTTTACAAACCGAAACCATGTAGCGAGTCTTGTAATATTGGTTCACTTTTTACGACCGTAAAAATTGGATTCGCTATTGCGTTTCATAAACCAACATTTAGGCGTAGGCTTTGGTTGATGAGTACGATATTAGAAGTTGTGCTTTTCATATGTTCCTCCTCCGCTGCAAATTATAAAACAAAAGTACGCGCAGCGCTTGGTTTTGTAGAGGTCCGGTTGCTGTCGCAGTTGCGCCCGACCATGCGCAAACCCGCAAGCAGAGCCCCGCGAACACAGCCCCTTCATCCAAAAGCTACAAATGCGCGTTTTGGAGTGCATGTTTTCCCAGCCGTCATTTCGCCCCGGTAGCCCGTCGGCCCCTGCTCTGGAGGATGGCGCAGCCGCGGACGGCTGGTACTGCGGAGCAGGCGCCTTCGGTGTAATTGTAGTGTCGGAAGATCCTGTCATGACGGGACCACTCTGCGACGAAGCAGTAGAACTATAGGCCGCCCCCCAGGCCCCGGCGGTTTTGCCGCTAGAAGCAGCGGGCTTCTGCTTCGGCGAGGAGCGCTGGCTGTGCGGCACGGCATTCCCCTTGCCAACAGGAGTTCTGGTGCTCGATGCTGCAAACATCTGATCCGTTGCTCCGTCGCTGGTGGTGGTGCACCAGGACGCCACCTTTGGCAGCGAAGGCACGGGCGTCAGAGTGCTGGCCGTGGCGGCACTAGGCGAGCGGACGGTGGAGTCAAAGCTACCGGAGGCACCGCGGCACAAGCTGCTAAAACCCGAAGTAGTTTTCAAATCTCGCCCCGTCGTGGTCGTCCACGCAGGGTGTTGTTGCATACTAGACGGCACGCCAATTGACATCTGATCAACATCTGCACTATGCATTGCAAAACAAGTTGTATAATCGCACTCGTACTGGTACTTCGTTCTACTTGACAACAAGTTGTATATTTTTCCTTTACAAGTCGCCATTTTTTATTTGCCAAAATTTAAGGCATGATAACCTGCATAAGCATCACCGCACTTGCAAAAATGCCATTTCGATATACAACTACTCTCACAATGCATACGCACCGACTTGGCGTTCTGGTTGTTCCGCACTTTCGTCTGCCTCTTGACTGGTGGCCCGAGAAAACGCGCCCCCCAGCGAGAAAGCCTGCAGCAACTCGAGCTCCTCCTTGTCCTCCAATCCACCCCCAAAAGCCAACTCTTGTGCCGGTGACGCGTTTGTCGATTGCGGCGACCCCGTTGACAAGGGGAATCGACTCCGGAGCGACGGAGGCGGCAGCCCCGGCGGCGGCGGAGTATTCAGGTGGGCTGGCCGTTGCGCCGGACTGGAATGTTTCGAGGAAATCTGAAATCCACCACCCGCGCCGGGCCAGAACATCACTGGTCCCTGCGCCGGACTCGCATATTTGGAGGCCGCCGGACTGGTCCTGCTGATCCCGCCAAGACTCATCGGCGTATGAGAGTGCACAACCCCCCCTCCCCCTCATTTGTATTGCATGAACAGCAATACACACACCAGCACACGTGGAGCCTGTGCATGACAAGTTTATGCGCCTAGTGTAGTACTGTTTGGGCTTCCGGAAAAATCTGTCATGCACACAGTGCCGCAGGGAAGCATTTGGATTTGGGCTTTTGCATGACAAATGAGGAAGAGGGGAAGTTGTGCACAGTGATACGGCGTGTGTTGCGGCGACAAAGCCTGGCTCAGGGCGTTCACCAGCTGCGGTTCGAGGCCACGCTCGTCAAACCGCATATCCGAGGGCATAAACGAGGGCGACTTCTGGTTTTGATTTTTCTGCTGCTGTTGTAGTGGGGTTTCGGCTATGAAATGCAAAAATGTCTGGGTCTGGAAGATTGCAACTTGTCATGGTAAATCTGAATCATGCAAAAATCTGTGTTGCATGAGTGCCAAAAGCTGTACACTTTTGACCAAGTTGAAAGGGAGTTTCTCATGCAGGATAGGCATGGCAGAGACCTCGCAGAGTCTGTCATGCCAAGTCCCGCATTCCAGACCTCAAGGGTAGTGGAAAATCTGCATGACAAGCCTACACTTTTCCAGACCCAGACATTTTTGCATTTGATATCGGCGGCCGGGGGCAGTTCCAAAGCCTCGTCTGGCAAGGAAGATGTATGCATTGCAAAAATGTCTGGGTCTGGAAACTTGTGATGCTAAAAGGTGGATGATGGAAACAGTTCCGAATGCAACCCAGCATGACAACTTTCCAGAACGCTTTCTCATAGGAAATCCGCATGAGAAGCTGCGTCTTTGCATGTACAAAAGGGTCTGCGACTTTTGTTGGTTATGCAATACAGATTTTCTAGGTATGGAAAGCTAGCATTACAAGTTCCAACCTCTCAGACCCAGACACTTTTACAATCCATAAGATGTGGGCTCAGACAGCTCATACTCCAGAGTCATCTCATGGTACCATTTTTTTGCATCATGTTGACTCTCGTCCACCGGCACATAATCGAAGTAGTTGTTTGCTTCAGGGTTCTTCAGCCAAGCCTGGCTCCGCTCCGCCAGCTCTTGCATCATGCCAGAGAGGTCCTTGCGCTCCTCCTGCTGTTTCGTTTGCGCATGCGCTGGTAAAAACCGGCGCATGTTTCGCAGGTCGTTCGTAACAACCGGCAGCGCGGAGGCGTGTTGCTGCGGCGAGGAGTGTTCTTGGTGTCCAGCCGCGACCCGGTGAGGGTCCAGCTGGTGCACCGACGTCGGTTTAGAAGTATCTTGCGCGACGAGGAGCTGTGGCAGTTGGTGTGCCTGTAGCGGAATCTGCATTGCGGGGTCCTCGGGTTGTCCTCCAGTAGTTGGTAAAGGTTGTAGGTCAACAGGCCATTTGTTGCTCGCCGCGCGTCCTCCTCCTCGCAGCGGTCCTCCTACTTGGGGCGGCGTCTGAACTGCGGCGGCGCTGCTGTCCGACGAGGGAGCGCCGACGTCGTTCGTGGCAGCATAATTGGCGGAAGCAGGGATAATGTTAAGGCTGTAATTGCCAACTGCAAGGTTCTCCTCCTCTACCGCTGCGGCCATCGCCGACGCAGCGGTGGAACTCGCATAGACTGCTGCACTTTTCGGCTTGTGCTGCTGGTGGGGCTGCGTGCGACGACGCCCGGCGGGTGCGACATTGCTCTGAAGAGGGTGTTCTTGCTCGTGATCTACTGCAGTAGAGCCTGAAGAGGCCGCTCCTCCTGTGCTCCGCGATGTAGTTGCAACATCCTTCGTCAAGCGCGGGTTTCGGATCGTGCGCGGTGTCGGCCCGCTTGCTGTCCTGCCAACTTTGCCGCCAAGGACGACCGCGGTGCTGCTGAGAAAACAGCACGCGGCTGTGAAGGCAAAAGCCGCGTTTCTTTGTGGAACTGGGGCGGACATTCTTTTTCTATATTCAGATAGATCGCCTGGAACAGATAGATGCTGCCGCTTCAAAAAGGTGGTGATGCAATAATTGCAGTATGCAAGTAGCGAAGGTGTTAGTCCGCGTAAAGGTGAAGTGAAGGAAATAAGATTATGTGAGGTAAGTGCAATAAACACTGCTTCTGCTGCTCTTTCCGATCGGTCGACACAGGCCCGGAGGGATGAAGTCAGCACAGGTCGTTTGCAGGATGCAGTGGGGCCATAAAGTTATCAAACGACATAAGGTGTGATTCATGACTCGCAAAAGCCCCCCCCTCTTCGCCGGAAAACTTCTCCGAACGACTTCGAGGGACAAAAATCGCGCAAGTTCGATAGTTTGTACGCGCTTTTTCGTTCGTCTGAGACTCAGAAAGCCTTTCCAACAATGCGAGGATCGGAGGGACACTGCAAATCTGAAGCTTCATCGCATGAACAGGAGCCGCTGCTCAAATTAACTCAAAGCCTCGTCCTACAGCTCGATCATAATTAAGAAATCGCGGAAGAGCAGCTTGAGGCGCTTTCACAAACTTGCCGACCTGCCAAACGGCCTTGCTTCACTCTGGGAAGAGTGAACGCAACTTCGGCTCCAGAGTGGGAATTTTTCAAAAGTGCAAAGTCATTAACTTCTTACTTTGTGAAAATTTTCGCTCTGGGAAGAGTGAACGCGGCTTCGGCTCCAGAGTGAGAAATTTGAAAAAGTGAAAAATCAGTTGTGACTTTTCGCTTTTTGGAAATTTTCTGGAGCCGAGGCCCCACAGTGAGTTTCAATTTTTTTCAAAAGTGAAAAATATAAATAATTGACTTTTCACTTTTGAAAAAAATTGAGAAACGCGGCTTCGCCTCAAAAGTGAAAATTTTTCAAAAGTGAAAAATCACTGATTTTTCACTACTTTTCTCGAAGGTACCCGTTGTCACGAAGGCCTTCGTGGCCACGGGTACCTTCGAGAAAAGTAGTGAAAAATCAGTGATTTTTCACTTTTTGAAAATTTTCACTCTGAGAAGACTGAACGCGAAAAAGTGAAAAATCACTGATTTTTCACTTTTGAAACAATTTCACTGTGGAGCCTCGACTCCAGAAAATTCGCAAGATTTTTCACTTTTGCAACATTTTCACTTTGGAGTCAAAGCCGCGTTTCTCAGAGTGTGTGAAAATTTTCAAAAAGTGAAAAGTCAGTGATTTTTCACTTTTTGAAATTTTCGGGAGTCGAGGCCGTGTTCACTCTTCCAGAATGGAAATCATTGAGAAGTAGAAAGTCAGTGCTTTTTCACTCCTAAATGATTTCCACTTTTCGAAAATTGTCAACCTGAAAAGAGTGCACGCTCCATCGACTTCAGAAAATTTTCAGAGAGTGAAAAATCACTGATTTTTCACTTTTCGAGAATTTCAATTTTTTCTCGCTAGCGACTTTCCGCTTTTCAAACACTATTTCATCTCAGATGCACCTCAGATGCACTTTTCGGAAGCTACTTTTCAGAGGCTCTTCGTTTGCCAAATTATCGCGCATCGGTCCCTCGAAGGTCTCCGGGGAAATTTTCCGGCTATCAATTCTATTAGAGGGTTGCGAGTCATGGTGTGATTTTTATTGCACGGAAACAGGAGGTACAGGTAGAAGAAGCTTCTACTTTGGTCAGGTCTTTAATAGTACACGTTAGTATAATTTATAACAAACACCGCAAGCGTTGTGTTGAGCTTGAGTACTAGACTCTTGCTGTAGCACCTGTTGCAGTTCGTGTTTTATCGGTAGTCGTGAATGAAAAGAATAAAGGTCTATTTTCAGTTGAAGTTCTACTTGTTCGAAAAAACAAACGCAGACTGGACAATGCACTTTACATACGTTGCCGAGAATTCGATTTTGCGGACAATAATTGAAAAAGCAGAATCAAGAGTTGGGGAAGAACCAATTTAGGCCCATATATATTCCTCGCTCTGACTGGGGTGTTTTGATTTGATTGGGAAAAAACGCAAAATCAATTGGCGTGCACGCAAGGCAAAAACAAGTGAAAATTAGGCAAAAAATTCTATAATAATGTGCTAATTCGATGCGATAAGCGAGATCTCGAGCCACTTGTGAGCCCCCACTAAACAATCTCTAGATCTACTTGTATGCACGACGACGAACCACGCTTGGCGCAGCGCGTTTTATAGTTTAGACAAGTAGGAGTACAAAGATTTTGATCAGAGAAAAAAAATTCTGACGGCGTTAAAAGCTAGATCCGCACAGGCGCTCGCACAGCAAACCTTTATAAAGTCAATGTCAAAGAGAGATCCTTGTCGAATTCGAAATAAGGTCGGGCATCAACACGTTCAGGCCTACCGACGTGGAGGTGTTTCTTTTTCGCGCTGTCCCCGACAGTGGCGAACGGCTGAACAGACACAGACAGTACCTGCACGAAGGTTTGCTCACTGTCGCGGCACAATAGAGTTCTCGCTTGTAACTTTCTGTGCGGTCAAAGTCTATTGTCTTTCCGTACTTCGAATGATGCATAGGTGAAAATCTTCTATCAATTCTGACATTTGGAATGAGAATGCGACTGCGCCAGTTGTGAAGTTAGAATGAGTCCGCCCTGGAAGCGGATGACGCGTCAAGTTTCGATTGGCGTTTTGTGCTATTTACAGCTAACAGCTTTTCCTCCTTCTTGTATGTTGACATCACTCCTGCTGAAACTACCAACTTTTTATATGCCTTTGCAAAAACTCAGAACTTCAGCATTGATCAATACATGTAGCCCCGACCATCTCGGGTCTCTTTGTGTGCGCAAGCCCTCCCTGGTGTCCCAGCTTTGGCTGCGGGTCTCTTCTCTACGGCGTCGGCGCTCCGGTCGCTGCCACCGTCATTCCGGCACACCCCGCCATGCACACCCCTTGCGCCGCACTGCAGGCAGCGATCGCCGCGGGGATGCCGAGGCCCAAGGTGAACGTGCCCGCAACCGTTCCTGCACTTGCGCAACAAGCCACGTAGGCCGTGTTGCAGCCTGTCTGACAGACACCATAAGTCACCACCGCCGCTGCAGGCCCGGCCTCCGCTACGGTGAAGCTGTAGTGCGCGAAAAGCTGCAGCAGAGAAAAAAGCAGGAGGGATGAAAAGCGCGACATTTTCGCTCGGCTGTTTCTTTTTCTGTAAATTATACGGAACAAGAATTTAAAGAAAAAAAGCCTTTTATTCTAAGCTTTCAGCACCTTTGTAGAGGTACAAGTAAAAAACTGTCCGGAGTTTCTCCTTGCTTAGTCGATGTATAAAATCTCTACCGTGAATCGATCGCTGTACCAAAAATTAAACGATATTAGCAATGAAACGGATGGATCTTCGTTTATGTAGTGGTTGGAATTTTTGATGATCGCAGCTCCTACTTCAAAGTATCTGACCTGTTTTTTTAATCTCCGACGAGCAAAGATCGTGGCCGTGGTGCACTTTTCTAGACCAGATAGACGAACACCATAGCTACTTTAGAAAATCTATGCAATTCCGAACGTCTAGAAGACGGGAATCTTTATTTTTGCCTTGATGGTTTTTCAATAACGCAGTTTCGTTCCCAAGCGCGCGCAGCTCCATCTCGTCCTCCAGATCAAGTATATTGGCCTCTTTGCCGTGTTAATGTCGCGTCAAAACGTCAAAAGAAAAACATAGAAAACGAAAAGCCGATCACCTTCTTCCACCAAGCCTTCGTGAGACCCCGTGTGGCGTTGGCTTTGCAGCAGCTTCTAATGCGGCGCATTGGTTATCCCCCTCGCTGCTTGCCCTTGCAACGGTGTAGTGAAACAAAGTGCCCTGGCAGTTCTCGTAGTAAATGTTAAAAACAAGAAGAAAAAAAGCTGTATGTTACAACTCATATTGAACTACAGTGTGACGGTCTACCCTGCGAATCCACTGCACTCATCGTGGATTTTTGCAGGTGATACCAATGCTTGCCGATAAAGTAATTTTCTATAATATTCCAGAGGTCAGTTGTTTCCAAGCGTAGTAAGTAGGTCTTCTATCGAATGCCAAGATAAGGTTCCTAGGTTCTGGAACTATCCAATTTCATCTTTTTGCAGCAGCGGTTCACTTTTTCCATTCTTCTGCATTTCCAACTCCGAAATCTGTGCCGAAATATCTCCAGCAATGTGCTGCCGCGCGGTGTCCTCAAGTTAGTACTAGTACTTCTTTGCGTACATTATTTTCTCCCTCGAGTTCGTGGTCAACACCAACAGCCACCTCCTTTCCCCTCACTCCTAGCAACACCCCTGCTCTCCTCCTCACACTGACGCCCCAGATAATTACTCAGCTGCCAGTTGCAGGAAAATGGGAATTTCCGTGTCTTCCGCCGGATTCAATTTGTCGTAGACCACGAAATCTGTCCCAAACGCGCGCCGCGCCTTCAACTCCGCATCGCCCCAAATCTGCTTCCACAAGGCAACTTCGCAGTCCGGCAGTTTTCCCTTTTCGGAGACGCGCTTCTCGTACAAACCAGCTTCCACGGTGACGTAGGCAATCACGTTCTTTTTACCAGCACTCGTAGTTCCATCTTTATTCATTTCCTCTTGCACGGTGTTCACGCGACGACCAACATCTTTTTTCTCCACTTCCCCCTTCCCCTGGTGCTCCCCCACGGAATCGGCTGCAATAAAGTTGGTGGGGACACTGGCCGCCGCAATTTCCTCGCCGATAAAGAACGTGTAGTCCCCCGTTTCGTCCGACGCGTAGTCTGTGTACACGCAGTACACAACACCGGGATTCACACGGCTTGTAGTTTTCTCGTTCGCGATGTCCTCGGTGTAAAACTTGCCGACCAAGGCGCCAATCTGCCCTTTCCCCGCGAGCTCATCAGCGTTGCGGGTGCGGCACTGCAGGCCGCGCAGGTGCAAGGGGTGCGCCTGCTTCACGACGGGCATTGTGAGGTAATTGTGACTGTGTTGGTGACGCCGATGCGATAAAGTAAGGTGTACTAAGGATGGCAGAAAGTAGTGGGAGGAAGGTGGGTGTAAAACTATTGGGGCTTCTTATGCTTGCTACAAATACAATAAAAGCGCGATAAAAGCGTAATGAAAAGAACTGCTCGACGAGCTATACGGTACTGAAGAAATTGTCAATTATCTCGCAAGCCGAGACACTTACTACTAATAAGAATATATGATAGCCTGCATCAGTGGTGAGAAAACTTTGATACAGCAACTCGTTGCGAATTGTGCCAGCCCAGTCCTCTGACGCAATCGCTCTACGGCTAAGAAGAATAGAACCGTCCAGCAGGGTCACGCATTTACATGCCCACCGCTACGCCCGTTCGTTGCATCATGTTCTTCGGCAGATCCAAAGAGACGATCGTGCTGGATTTCGGAATTCTAGACAGTCACACCTTCCATCACGAGAACTGGGATCTTGATCTGAGCGTTCCTCCGTGCCACAGCTTCATCACTTTGGTACTGATCACACCAAGGTTTGATCGACACAAATGACCACATGATCGTAAGTACTGGAATTTACTCATTTACGATAAGAGGTGGAACATGTTCTCATTTACTACTCGTGTACTGCGGTCCTACTGCCTAATCCATCATCACTTCTTGCGTGGTCTGGAAGTCCCCACCTGTTTTTCACGTTGCTGTCCAAGCGTTGCTGATCTTCACGAAATTTTTGCACGTAAGTTCTTGCTTCGTCAATGTTGGTGGTTCGAATTGGCTTCTCGAGGACGATAGGAAGGACTTACTCACGATTTCATCGATTATCCCCTGCTCCTATTTCCCCTCTACACATTTTAGAGGTTTGTCCTTCGCATCGGAATTCTCGTTGTACATCTTTACTCGATCTGGGCACCGGCAGCCGGGCTTGTCGATATCCACCGTATTCGCACCCTGGCCCGACTTTTCCCAAAAATCCGCCGGTATTTTATTCACGTAGCAAGTGTGAATATCCCCTTCCTCCGCGTATGCTTTGCAACTTCCATTTTTCGGGTCGAGAAAGCTTGTACGCATCGCCAACGACGTGGCTCCACCCCTAGTACTGATATGGTGGGAGAACGGCGGGGCTGGTAAAGAATTATGCCAGTGCTGATGCTGTACCGGAGCTGCAGCAGCTCCACATGGCAGCTCCTGCATGAGAAGATGACCCCGCGTCGTCGTGGTCCCATGTTCACTTGTTGTTGTTCCCAGCTGTGCTGCATCCTCGTGCTGGTGGTGCGCTCCCAGTAGGAAGGACCCCGTCTGGTCCAAGAAGGCAGTAAACAACTCAAAAACTGGCATGGGTTCTTCTTGTGTAGTTGTCGCAACGAAAAGATGAAGGAGGTATTCTAGGAATACACAAATAATTGCAAAATCTACAGTAGTGGCAGTGCAAATAAATCGTCGCGCTTGCATGAGGAGCAACGAGCGCTATCCGAAAACGTTGTCTACTTTTGGTTAATATGGTTAGCGTAAGTAAGAGCGCGGGCTTTGGCACAAACTAGAAGAAGATCCTTCTCGAGATCGATCCTGATCGTGAGGGTCGCTTACCTCTTCCCAGGAGGAAAGAACATCTATGCACGCTCGCAGCGTCTTCCTCAAGCTCCTCTCTCAGCATTTTCTTCACGCTTTTTAGTGCCGCGGATCGATTGAATCATTTCCATGCAGCCGTTTTTATCATTATCGCTCCCCTGTGTACGTACGAACGAAGTCTGGCGACGGACAGGAGTCTGTAACAGCGAAAGATCTTCATCCTCTGTGATATAATTGCATGCATGTTGTGCGATACGATAATATTGCGCGGAGCAGCCGCAGCCGCGCATCTGGTGCCGAAACGAAACAAAAGTAAAAACAATTTTTCAGCCCATCGTCGTGCTTTTGAAATTCTGTCGAGATTTGCATTTTTCCGACACACAGTCTGCGATGTGGGTGCCTATTCTACACTCTATTTTGCTCGGTTATATCACTTGCATGCTTGCACTCACTTGAGGCAGGTAATTCGTACTTTCTTCGGGACTTGAACGACGCATTGCACTGATTCTGATTGCATCACTTAAATTCATCTTACAACGCATGGTAAATGTTACTTTTACTTGAGTATTCTCGTACTTTTAGCCCGTGCTTCATGATCAAGAATGCGGCTGTATGTACAAACTTCTTCGTACAGGACATACTCTTTACATCACATCGTACAATTTCACTTTGTTTGCCCACTACAAGATAAAGTAAAACTAGTATCGCACGCCCCTCGTGCTGTCTCCTTTCTTGATCACGTCACCCCTTCATTGCCACAAAACAACGATCGGAGACAAAGGGTACCGCTTTCTCTCCTGCTGCTCAAGCTCATCGACTGTCTCCTTCTTGTTCCCGGGGCTAGCTCCACCCGCCGTTGCATCTCCTCCCAAGCATGCTTCTTCTCCCTCTCCCCGCGGCGAGTTTGGCGGCACGACGAAGGGCCGCTCCTCCGCACGAATTTCTAGCCCCTCCGTCCGTCGCAGCGGGTTGCTTTTCTGGCTGGGGAAAAAAGGCGTCCACAACTTGTCATTCCACTGCGAGAAGCCGCGGAGGACCGAGGTTTTGTAGGGCAGCAGGCGTACCAGAGGAGGTGCAGCTGGCCGATCATCATGATGCGGAACATCACACGTTGTTGCACCACAAGAAGAGCCGGAAGTTTTTTCAACACCATCATTCCTGCCGGAACTACTCGATTGTCCTCCGCCGAGCGTGGATGAAAACAAATCCACCTGCAAGAAGAGCTTTTCACCGCCACTCGGTGCGGTAGAGGGCCGCGAATTGTCTTTTCTACTGAAGATGTTGTTGTTCCCCGTGGTGCTCTCTCGGTGGAAACGTCGGCCAGAAGATGTTCTTGCCGCGTGATGGTGTTCTTGACTGCTTCTACAATTACCCGAGTCGACGTCCAAGGGAATCCGACGCACGAACAGCAGGCTCTGCAGGTCTCTACTCTCCGCGAGTTTTACACCGGAAGTTTTAGAAGTAGTTTCAACCACATCTACATCTATTTCCTCGTTTACTGCACTTTCACCCTCACAGGTCTTCCGCCCTAGTCTTCGCCCTGGTTCGTGCTCATCCCACAGCATCCAACAGGTCGATGGCGCAGAGGAGGGTCTTGCGCGATTCAGGTGGATCGTGTGAGGAAGAGGTCGCGAAGATGAAGTTCTTGGCGCGGAGGTCAGATTTGGTGCAGGACGAACTGCCCTTTGTTCTAACTCCTGCGAACAACCACCGTGACCTGCCTTTTCGGTTACTTCCCGCTTCTTGGCCCCGTCAGATCCGTCTTGCGCCGACGGCGCGCCGCGTAAGTCGTTATTGCTGCTTGTAACGGCGTCGGCGTCCTTCTCGCTTTTCCCGCCCTTCGTTCCAAGAAGAACCTTTGAGCTGGTACTGTTCTTGGCCTCGGCTACGTGCGTAGTCTTCCTCGGTCGTGTCAGACTGCTCCACGACTGTCCTACGATGTCAGAGTCCACGGCGACCGGGATGCTGTTGTAGGCAGAATTGCGGCTCTCTTTGTTCATCCTTATTCCTTGGTTTCTTGTACTTGGCACGCGTGCACCAGTGCGTGCCTTGTTTGATGTTGCCTTTGTGGTCTCATCATCTCCGCCTTCCACCACTACACACGACGACGACCCGGCTTTTCGCAACTCTTCGTACAGTTTGTTTTCCCGTAGACCCGGTTCTTTCCTCCTTACCACCCCGGGCTTTGCCGCCGGCATCACCGCCGCTCCCCGCTGCTGCGCGCCGCCGCAGGCAAGGAAGGCGTCTCGCAGCTTCTGTCGCTTCTCCTGCAACAGGGGGAAAGCCGACGTTTTACGGCTCGTGATGTTGCCGAAGTTGTAGTTATTGGCAGATTCATCTACAACTTCCTGCTTTGCGCCGCCCTGTCGTTGTGCCGAAGAAGGTCTTGATGCTCCAGCAGCCACTTCTACTTCTTTCCGCTCGTTGCGCCCCAGAATGCGCACGACGTTGGGCAGCAGCAGCAAATTCCTGGACGGGTGGCTGTACTGATTCGCGCCAGAAAATAAACACCTCGCGTTCTCCGCCCCGGGACGATCCGAAGTGCTGGCCACCGCGCCGCGGCGCTGATGATGGACTTGCGCCGCAAAATTCTCCTTTAGGCACTGGTCGAATGCCCGCGGGTCGATATTACAATGAAAAATGCCCCCCCGGAATTTGAAAAAGTTTCTTATGCAAAGTTTCCAAATGAAAGCTTTTTGTCTTGCATGAAAGGACTAGGAGCCTTTGTGATGTGGAATCTAGGCACGCACGGTAGCTTTTGCATAACAGATCTGGCTGCTGCTGGGCTCCTGTGCAACACAAATTTGAGCTAGTATTCAGCATGGAAAATTTGTGATGCTGATACATGCAACACAGGGAGTGTTTCCATTGGAAAGGTTTGCAACACAAATGCGCCAAGTTCTGGGGTGGGGGCATTTTTCATTGTAATAGTCGATGGGCAGCGCGAAGTCCCCGAGCCACGAGTTCAGCACGTCCTGCCCTTTTTTTACTTCATCTCTGAAGATCATGTCCGGATCGTGTGATCTGTCTTGCTCCTCACCTGCGTTGCCATCCTCGTGCGAACAACCGCTTGCAAGACCTTCGCAGCTTTCTTCGTCGATTGTGTCAACGTGATCCACCCCGAAGTCACTACTCTCGCTGTGGGCACCACGGTCGTCGACCCCCGCGTTTCTGTTTTCGGAAGATTTCATCCTCGGGGCAGGAACTCCTGCTGTTCTGGTCCCAGAAGTTGTTCTCTTGCCTACTTCTTTTCTCTTGCAAGGAGCCGACGAAAGATCGAGAGCAGTGGAGGTCGCATACTCATTTTGCTGTTGCTTATTTGTCGCAAAAATGCCCGGAGTTTTCCTATCCGCATTCACGATCGCTTCCGTATAAAACTGCACAACTCCCCTCCCCGTCGTTTGTCATGCAAAATACCTAATTTACGCCTTGGCTTTTGGCACTGTTTGCATGACAAGCTCTGGAAGCCCAAATAGCCCTACACTCCTGTCCAAATTTGTTAAGCCTGTATTCTTGCTGACCCTTGTATTGCTGTTCATGCAATACAAATGAGGGAGAGGGGGAGTTGTGCACTTTCATATTCCGCTAGCCCGTCGTACAACCGCGACAAAACTTTCCGCTCCTCCAGATCCTCTTTCAGGAGCAGCAAATTGCGCACGTCATGGAGCTTCTTCGGCGCGGGCGGGGCCGCATGATCTACTAGCACTTCTTGTTCTGGACGATAAAGCCCCCACCCACTTTTTTCTTCGTCATGACCACCTGGCACGACCCGTGCTTCTCCTTTGTTTCGCCTTCTACTACCACTTTCTGTTTGATGGCCCTTCTCACGATCTCCTTTTTTGGAGCGAGGCGACCGAAGTTCCTGTGCCTGCTTCTGTACCATACTAACATGCTGCGACTTCGGATCTAGAACCCAATTTTTACCAGCTGCGGCTTCGACAATTCTGCGGGAGGAGGAGCAGAGCTTTTGATGTTCTTGCACCTCGTCGTCCACCCGGGATGTTGGTGCGCCAGCAGCCACGGCTTCTTTTTGTTTCTTCTCCACCGCTTTAATCACTTTTCCTGTTTCCATCAAATCTTGAAGCGAGAAGTCCCCTGCTTTGATGTCGTCTTCATCATGACCACGCCTTCTCTGCACGGGGAGCTTCGGCTGCAGGTGGATTTTTCGTGACACAGGCTCAAACGCGGAGGTCGTGCGATTGGCAAAAATCATATCGGGGTTTTGATGAATACTTGCACTACTGCCCGATAATTGCGCCTGTCCTCGTGGTCTCTCCACACAATAGACCTGCTCAGGCTGTTCATTCGAGCAGCCATCATTGGTTGCATTTGCAGAAGAAGTTCTACGCACCGTCGCCGCTATTTTTTCCCCGTGTTGCGTAGTAGTTGAAGACGTCACTTCTTCTAAATCTGGCGGCGAAAAGCAGATTTCGCGTTGGATTAGCGGAGCCTTTCTGCGAAACTGCTGCACTGACCTGATGTCATGGGAAAAAAATTGGTGGAACGACTGTGCAGACAGCTGAAGGGATCGAAAAAACGAAAAAGAGTGCAAGAGACTACGTCACAGTTTGATAAAATTTTCGTTCAATTTTTAATTTAGCAGATGAATAAGATTTTTTGTAGAATAAATTACCTTGGCCTCCTGCTTAGGTTGTTGTGATGCAACTTGTAACCACCAGCATAATTCCCCAGAGCTGCATCTTTGTCTTCAAAACAACGCAACCCCTCCTGTCCGTCCTCACGAGAGTCCTCCTCGCTGTCCGATTCCGCTCGATTGTGAAACGGCCCGACGACGTCGGCGCGACCAAGCGGAAAAGTCGGCGCAGTGGTCGATCTGATTTGCGCCCCCGGATAATTGTTCGATGACGGATAAGAATAATTACAACGTTGTTCAGTAGAAGAACTTGTAGTTGCGCTACTTTTCCTTCCGCCGAGACCAACAGCAACATCGCTGCCCACTGGAGAAGAATAAAAAAGGTCTGCAAAATTATAAACACCGCTCCCGTCTTTAATATTTTTCCCGTTCACTTGCTCCACGAAGGCTTTCACAGCCGCACTCCGAAGCAGCGAGGTCGTTGTTCCCGCCAAGGATGATCTTCCCGTCAAGAAGTACAGCGGTTCGAAATCTAGGTCATTTTGCCGCAGGAGAATATTTTCCAACGTGATTATGTTCTCGAAGCTTTGCCGGTTTAAAGAGATAAGGGCTCCGCCGTGTTCAACTTGTTCTAGGGGTCGTTGCAAACAAGAAACCGCTTGCGCTTTATCTAGCGGCCGCCCGTTGCTGTTACAATTTTCTTGTCTGGTACTAGTTTTGTATTCCGCGGCCAAGGCGATCATCCAGGGCTGCGGGAGTGGTGGCAACACCGCAGTAGGGCAGCAGCTCTTCTGCTCTCTCGACGCTGTTCCATTTTCGTCCTCCGAGGAGGTTTGAATATTACCCGATGAGGCAGACGAATTGGAGTTTACGTGGCTTACCGGATTAGTTGTCGTGGAAGAAAAGTTGTTTCTTCCGTGCGAAGATACTAGCACCTCACCTTCCTGACGAGGTGTTTTCCGCTTCATTTCTCTGTCACCACCCGGCTGAGAGAGAGACTGTGCTTCTTGATGCAGTTCTACTCCGTAAAAATTCTCGTGGTCTTCGAAAACATATGTGTCGTGATAGTACCTCCTCTCGTCGTGGTCCCCATGATGCAACAGAAATCCCCCGCCGCCCCCCGCGATGGTCGTCGCGTAACCACTATCAAGTGCAAATACGTCTGGGTCTGGAAACTTGTAGTGCTGTGTTGGGGATAGTGAATGCTCTGTAATGCACAGCCAAGCATGAGAAATATCTGCGCTTCTTTGTGTTGCGTTTTTCGCATGAGAAACTGCGTTTTTGCATGACAGGCAAAAAGGTCTCTTCTTGGACACGCATCACAAACTTTTTTGTCATGCCAGACAAGCATGACCATCTTCCAGACCCAGACATTTTTGCATTTGATAACCGCTCACCACCGAGCACGCATCATCCGCGCCGCGCAACGCTATCAAATGCAAAAGTGTCTGGGTCTGAAAGAATGCGCGATTTGTCATGCAGCTTTTCCATGACCCATGAGGTCTGGAATGCAGGACCTAGCACGACAGATTCTGTGCGATCTCTCTCATGCCTATCCTGCATGAGAAACTCCCTCCCGACTTGGTCAAAACTGGACGACTTTTGGTAATCATGCAACACAGATTTTTGCATGCTTCAGAATTAGCATGACAAGCTGCATTCTTCCAGACCCAGACATTTTTACATCTGATAAACGCCGCGGAGGCGACACTCGCGGGGCGGCCGTACCCGGACCCTACGGCGCGGTACCCCACGAGGCGCCCCGCCCCGTGCACCGGCCCCGTGGTGCAGCTGGTCTCGTGGTTGCTACTAGTACTGCTGCTGCGGTACACAACGGTTCCACAGCTACCCGTCCCGGGCCCCGCACTGCTGCCGCCCTGGTTCGGCGCGGCGCTGCTGGACGTCGTGCGTGTAATGGAATCTAGTACAACTGCTCCTCCGGGCGCGGAAATAGTAGAATTGCCCACGCTGCCGGGAGTTGCTTGGTCTACCTGTGATGTACGATTTTGTTGACCACGACCGCGAGTGTTGTTTGCGACTCTGATATAATCTACTTCGACGGATCGATGATTTATCGCGGTGGGACGAACAAGTTCTTCTGCAGAACAATTTGTTCCTGCTCGCGCAATCGCCAGTGCCCGTTTTCGGTGGTCGGCGGGAAGAGTCAGAAAGTAGTCCTCGAGCGCAGCATTCCACGCGTCTTGCAGTTTCTCCTCGCAGCTCGCCCAGACGTCGTGTTTTTTTGAGACGACTTCTACTTTGCGATCGTGGTCGTGTACGACTCCGAGATGGCCGTAGTTCTCGTCGTTTCGGTCGTTGTTATTGCTCCCCCCAACCACCAACTTCGCTTCCTCCAGCCGCTTCTCTGCCAACATTCGCACCTGCGGAGCATCTACTTTTTTCCCTTCCTTTGTCGTTCCTCGCTCGTACTGTTGATCAACATCCGTGCATTGCAGGAACGATGCCAGAGCGTGGCCCAACGCTGTTCCCACAGATTCTAACCGGTGCGGCGAAAAGTAGATGTTTTGGCTTTTCACTAACTGCTCCGTTGCATCTTCGAATGCCGGAAGATGAAATAAGCCCTCGTCTTCGCGGCCCACCAGTGGTGTGCTTTCGACGTCGTCCCTATCACACAATAAATACGGGCGCGGCAACGTCGGTTTCCCTAAACTTTCCACGTGCTTCGACCGGAGCCACTCGCTGCAGCCCGCTAGTGTTGCTTCTAAATCAGTGTCGTCGTGGTCTCGCTTGATGTTCTCAGTCGCGCAGCTGGCCGCATCTCTATCTGCAGCAGAGGAGGTAGTTCTGTGCTTGTGATTGGAGTTTTTCATCGTCGCCCCGCTCGAGGGGGAGTTCGTTGTGGTGTCCAAGTCGATCCACTGAGAGGTTATCCACAGTAAATTTCCTGTACACGTACAAATGCGGTCTCTGCATGACAAAACTTGGCTTCGATCCTAGTTTGGCATGACAAGTTTTACGCCCCAGAGTGGTGAACTTTGTGATGCATCTTGTACATGTACGGGAAATTTGTATTGCATAGAGGTTCTTGCAGTTGCACAACCACCCGTCGGCGATACCGTTTGCGTGTCGGCCAGGCGGACCACGAGTGGAGCTCCTGCAGCACTCGTGTTTGGAATCTGTATGTCAAGAAGCTCCACCTGTTCATCCTGCCCGTTCTTGTTAAACACAAGTTGATGTTCTCGGTCCGGCTGCGGGTGGTCTTTCATAAAACTTCGCACCGCCCGTCGATCCAACTCCAGAAGCACCTTGTTCACGGTGTCCAGCTCCGCGACGGGAACCTCCTCCGGCAACCGGGCCACCGGCACCCCGAGCCGCAGTTGCCGCAACACCAGGCGAATGGTTTGCAAAAGTATAAGCGTACTCCCACGTAGTTCGGGTTCTACATTACAAACGAAACCTCCTTGTCCTTTCATCTCCTGATCAGCATTACAAATTTCTTACTTCCTGTTCCTTTTACAGCAAAAATTATTTGTGATGCAATTCATACGTAGTACGCTACTTTTGTAATTGCATAATGCGGATGTTCTCCACCCGCTCCTCGCGGACCGCGAGCCGGGCCCGTCGCTCCGCCGCCTTGGCGGACTTGAGCCGCTGGACCTCGGCTGCCGGAACAACATCAATCGGCGGGCCTTATGCATTGCAAAAGCATCGCACTGATAGTAATCGCAATGATGCATGACAAATCTCCGATCTTAGGTAAATCAGCATTACAAATTCCCCTTTCTTTCTTGGCAAGACTTGTCATGCTATTTCTACTAGTACGATACTTTTGCAATGCATAGGTCTACACTTGCAACAACTTGCGCCGCTGTTGCCCGCGCTCCTCCGCAAGGAGGTACAGTAACACTGTGTGGAGCTGCTTCCTCGTTTTCCTGCTCGCGAGGTAGCCCTTGTACTGCAGCGGCCCATTCCTTTCTTGGTGTCGCTTTTCCTCTTTCACCACCGTCCGGGCTCCTAGCATCTTCGCGAGATGAACTTGAACGCATCGTCGTCACTCCGGCCTGAAGGCATAGTGATTCTTGCGGCGCCGGAGCTGCAACCCGCCGGCTCCCCACGCCCGCGGCTTGGACTTCTGTGGTAGTTGTACCATCCCCCTGCTCCGCGGTTTTAGGGCCTGTATCAAAGGCTCGCTGGTCGACTCGCCCAGCGGCGCTCGCGCGAAGATCGGTGCGGTGACTGCCGAAAAAAAGCAAAGCCTTTCTTTCGTCCTCCAGCCGCCTCTGCGCCACGTCCATACACCAGAACGACGCTTCTACAGTGTAGCTGAAAAAGCACCCGAACTCCGCGGCCACCACAAATCTCGCGGTTCCCGGCTTGTTTTCGAACGCGCAGCTTCCCGCGACGAAGTCGGTCGAGGCAAAACTTGCCAGAGTCGGCAACAGCCGGATCCGGGCGCTCAGCAGTGCGGCAGACACGCAAGCGGATGGCGGTGTAGCGGAAGATGATGAGAATGCCGATAATGAAAATGCTGCGACCTCCGAAGCTGCGCCAGACGAGGCGGATTTATTATTTCCATGGTTCTCCTTCTGCTGATTTCTTGTACCACTTCTTGTTGTACTTCCGCATATTAACCGCCCTCCGCTCGGGTCCCGCAAGCCTCCCCGAAAGTGATGAGAAGATGAGGCAGCAGTTGTGGCAACTCCGCCATTTGAAAATGTTCCTGGTGAACCATGCCTCTGTGCTCCAACCCCTCCGAGAATCTGCTTGTTGGCCGCAGATGAACTAGAGGACACAACAACTGCTGCCGTGGAAGGTGAAATAAGGTTGTTCATCCAAAGACCACTAGTGGTACAACTACTCCCTGCGTCGTTGAAAGGTTCTACAACATCACTCCCGAAGGAACTACTACAAGACGGCTCGTTTCCAAAGAAAAACACGCCCTCCTTGTTTGCGTGGCCGTGAAAATCGAAGAAAAACGCAAACCTGCGCTTTTCCTTCACCACCAAAGTGCGCCAAAGGCGCTTCAGCGCCCAGACCGTCGGCTGCAGCTGCTTGTGCGGGTGCGCAAAGCTGCGGTTGAGGTCAAAGCCGGAGAGGCAACACCGCGTGTTCCCCGCGACCACGCCGTCCGGATTCAGCATGGGCAGTATGAACCAGCGAAATTTCCGCCGCAGTTCCGCTGCAGAGATGGTGGAGCCACCACCTAGGGTGCGGGGGTCCGTACTACCTTCATCACCACAATTTTCGCTTGGAACATGTAGCCCCAACAGCCAGGAGACGAAGCCCTGCAGCATGAAGCTGCTGTTGGTTTCCCCCGGATGACAACGAGCGTTGACGAAGATAAACGGTCTCCGGTCTTGTTCCCTGGCAGAGGACTTCACCTTCTGTGCGGAAGAACTCTCTGCACTCCTCGTCCCAGATCTACTTCCATCAAACTCGTCCAGAACAACGTCGTCGCTGATCTCTAACAGCTCGCACGGCAATCCGCTCGGCGTGTGACACAGAGTCCGGAGTTTGACCGTGGTCTTCACTTGTGGTTCCGCAATAGATGAGGTAAATTTCCTCTGCGAAGGTGGGGATGTTGGGGAAGTTGTGTGCTGGAAGCTTCTAGTTGTAGAAGTACCGGGCGCAGCAGCGCGGTGGTTTGTCAGTGTGGTCGTACTACTACACAAATTCGTTTTGCACGCCGTCACCAGCGCACCAGATTTGTCCCGGCTTGCCCCACGACTGCTCGTGTTTCCTATTCCTCCGGGGTGGCCTTGAGCAGCATGCCTAGACCTGCTGGCAGTGGCACTACCAGGACAGTAATGATCCTCGTCCCGCACTAAACAGGAAGACGAAGACTTCTCGCGTTTCTTGACGATCTTGCAGATTTCCCGGCACCACTCCCGGCACTGCGTGTAGGTATAGGGGTAGTGGAAGGCAAAGGCCACGGTGTCGTCGTCTGCTTCAAACAGGTAGTCAAACTGCAGCGTGGTCCAGTTTCGCGGATCCCGTCCCTTCTGGCGGTTCGTCGTGCGAGGTACGGAAGAACTCTGCTTAGTACTTGATGAACAAGCAAAAGCATTTGATGCTGAAACAGTATAATTCATCTGAGCAGGTCCTCGTGCATTCAACGTATGATTAGACTCTGCATCTTGCTCTTGCAGCAGGTCCAGATGTTTGCAGTATGCGTTGTACAACGCTACGTCGTGATTCACCCAGGGAGTCACGGCCGGCACCGCCACCAGAGGGGTTTCACCCGCCCCAGAATTTCGACCCCGCGCCCTTTCGCTGCTCGGAGCGGTGGCGGTCCCGTAGCTAGGCTGTACCACTATATTCGCAGCCCCTCTTGTCCAGCCGAGCTCGGGCATCGCGTAGCTCCAGGTAACCGGTGTCATTGGGTGGCGATAAAAAGGTGCAGTCGAAGGGAGGTTCTGCTGTTGTTGTTGGGTGCTTGCCCTTGCATTTTCCTCTGAACAAGCTGCTCGTCCAGCGACATTGCTAGCATCTTTATCACTACTTCCTCTTGCAGTACCAGCAGGAGCTGGTCCGACGCCGTGTGGAGGTGACTGCCCCGTCGGGCCGGTGCGCCGGTCTCTACCATCCAGAAGAAGATCCTGCCGGCTGTACATCTTGGACACCTTGGTCAAGTTCCGGATCCGGAGGCGAATCCTCGACCCGCGCTTGACGTTCACACCCTGCAGGGCGAAGTAAAACCACTGGGTATACCCTTTAGTTCCGAGGTCGTAGTCCAGGTAGAGGTCGTACTGCAGGTCCACAGGCGAAGACGTCCTCGCACGTGCTACAAATGAACCATCTGGATCAGGAGGAATTTGCGTTTGCCCACTTGTTTGTCCGTCCACATAATTGCAGGCTCCTGCCGCGCCACCGTGGTCTGGGTCGACCTCGACGGCCGGTGGCGAATACAACTTCTCATGGTGAAAATTGTTTTCTTGTCGGTCAGTACTGCTAGTAGAAGAGCCAACTGGTGGTGCTCCTGTTGACCGCGCTTTTTTCCCCGTCTTTGGGCTGCTGCTGCTGCTACTGCTGCTTTTCGCAGCACTACTTTTAGCTGTGCCCCCAGATGATAAAGGCTGCGTTGTGCACCGCAGCGGCCCGCCATGGTCCGGCTCTGCAGCGCCACGGGTTCTGCTTGTGGTCCGAAGATCCACTTGTTCCTGCGTCGGTGCGGGACGACTTCTAGGTGAACTGCAGCCCCCTTCTGTCGTCTCTGTCGCGTAAGCCAGATTGCCCGACTCGAAGAGCGAGGTGAATCGCAACCGCGGCCTCCCTGTCAAATGCAAAAATTTGTTTGGGTCTGGAAGATTGCAAGATTTGTCATGCTTATCTGGCATGACTGTAGAGTTTGTGATGCGCGCCCAAGAAGGGACCCTTCTGCTTGTCATGCAAAGCGCAGTTTTTCATGCGGAAAGCGCAATAGGCAATACTAAGCAGCGCAAATATTTCTCATGCTTGGCTGTGCATTGCCGAGAATTCACTACTCCCCGCTCAGCATTACAACTTTCCAGACCCAGACATATTTGCATTTGATACTCCCAACATCGTCCGGCGTTTCGTAAAATTCCGGCTTCGGCTGGTCAGCGAAGATTTGTGTAGTCGTACCCGCACTGGAACGAACAGCGGGAACAACCTGCTCTTCCAGCAGCACGCTCTTATTTCCGGAGGTAGCCTCCTGCAGCTGCCCATCATCGTCGGGCTTTCTACGCAAACAAAATCGCCGTGTATCAAACCCCGCTTTCTCCAGTACGTCGGCAGACGGAGGAGGTTTACCTCTACTACGACTGAGACACGTCGCGCGGGTCCCGTAATTTTCTGTCACGAAAGCAGAATCCTTGTCCGATCTAGTAGTGTCCTCACCTCCTTTCTCGTCGTACTGCGTAAAAACAGATCTTCTTCCACTTGCGGCGTCCACTCGTTCAGGCCCCCCGACGGCAGGAAGCAAGACCTCCGCACCAGCATGTTCATTCACCAGCCCCCGCTGCAATTCCAACCACCGTCGCTGGGTGTTCGGGTCGTGCTTGTTGAAAACCGGCCGTCGCCCAATCCGGCGTCCGTCCACGTCCCGGAGCTGCCACTCTGGAGGCTGTGAGTGGCACTGCGCATGGGATGAAAACGCGGTCGGCGACGCGTAGTCTGGGTAAAACATTTCGCTGAGGGTGGATTTCCTCTACGGGTGTCTTGCTGCGAGGCGGTGGCACTGCTGGTCCGGGGCTGCACTAGAAGTTCCCTTCGGGGGAGGACGACCCTGGGCCTGAATAATCGTCGACAAGCATCAGGTGCGCAATCGCCATGAACCGAGCCATTCGGCATGGCCGGTGTACTATTTCCGGGAAGTAAAAAACTGTGGGTGGACCACGATCCTGGAGGTTTGCAGAACGCTTCTGTGATTTGCAGCTTTTTCTAGTCGTGCCTCAATAGGTTTGAACCAAGAGAGATAGAACGAAGGATATCGTATTCTCTCAGCAAGTAAGAAGTATTAGAAAACAAGTTTAGTAAAAGGCGCAAAAAAAAACCGACGATGTTAGGTGTCCACGAAGATGAGCTATACCGCGGTGAAGGTTCGAAGTTGTGCATTTGCCTCTGCATTTGAAACAGACACGTATTTTGAAATACGTTCGAGATTGATGCACAAATCAACGTCTTTGCTTTCAATGCGTCGAGATGAAGAACGGCGAAACAGAAACTTCGAAAATAAATCCCCTTGTTTGCCTCTTTCATCTTCTTGTGCCTACCCTGCATCTACTTTTCGATTCTGTCTCTACTTATGCGGAGTTGTGTCACAAATGAGGAGGGCTTTCTCTTCGCGTGCCTTCGGTTTGATTCACCTTATTTACGTAACAATTTCTACAACAGCGAATTGCTTTATTCTCGTCTTGATCAGACCTCAACCTACACACATGCCTCGTCCCGGAGACAGGTGGGGGACGGCGGCGCAATGAAATCCTCAAGTCTATCAACCAGCATCGCGCAACAGAATCCAGTTGAGACCCGCCCAGGAGGACCGCAATACCTGGCTGCGCCGCGCCCGCTCCAGCGTTCACAAAAGGTTGATGACCTGCTCGTCTTCATGGATATCAACAGCCCATCACCACTACACCACCTTCGGAGCTGTTTCCGAATGCCTCCTCAGGTTCGCGCACAGCTGGGCACCCGCACGGTGGTGAGCGTTTGCCCGTCCTGCGTGCGGCAGGGTCGCAACCGGACAAGAACGGCCCCGAGGGCCGCGGAACAGCCGAGCGTATGCACCACAAAAGTTGTACTACCATCGCAGCCGTACTCATCACAGTCTATCATGCCTAGACCAGACAGGTATGTTTGTTGTTTTTAATCTCTGTTAAGCAAATTCCCTTTCTTAGCATGCTGGCAAACTCGATTTTGATTTTTTATTCAACCTAGTACACTGGTACGACAATATTTTTTACTTTTGCGAATGCGTAGACCAAGGCCAGAGACCCCTTGTGCATCAAGCCGACGCCGGCCTCGATACTTTTCACCTATGAGAGTGCACAACCCCTCCATGGCATGAGCAGCAACACAAGCAACGCCAGACATGTGGCTTCTGCATGACAAATCTGCACGCGGATTGTAGTAGTGATGAAGGATCCAAAATTTGTCATGCAAACTGTGCTTAGAGGCAAGGTGTGGCATTGCGATTGCCATTGGTATTTTGCATTACAAATGAGGGGAAGGGGGAGTTGTGCACTCTCATATCACCCGATCCACGTAGACAAAGAGCGCGGCCAACAGGTTGCAGTATCCAAGGAAAAAACAAGTAGGCATGCTAATGTAGAGGCGTCATCTTCGCGCGACAGCATCACAAATTTGCTCTGCAGGGCAGAGATGCCAAAACCTATCGTGCACTGCGCTCGTACATGAAGATGGTGCCAACATTATATGAAAAGAGGATTTTTTCGTGGTTGTCTGGCATGACAAGTTGTGGGTACTGTTTGAGTGATTTTGCATAATTCTTTTTCTGGATGGCAGCCTTACTACACTTAACAAAATGCTTTTTTTCCGACGTATGCCCAGCAGGACGAACACGAGACAGGCGACGTTGAAGCCAACCGCCACGTTCCCTCGGCCGTACCATGACGTCAAAATCGCCGGAAGGATCGCCCAATTGCCCCCGAACCCGATACCCAGAAACGAAAAGCTCAGCAGCGGTCGCGTCTCGACAAAGAGCAGGGAGAGGTAGCAGGCCAACATGGTGAGCAGCAGGTGCCGCGCGAACTCCACGCGCCACTCCGATCGCACGTATGACACTGGCACAACTCCCCCTCTCGTTTATTTGTCATGCAAAATTTTGAATCCTGTCGCTGCCTGGTGGCACTGTTTGCATGACAAATTTCGGAAGCCCAAACAGTACTTCTACTTGCATTAGGTGCATAAATTTGTCATGCTTCAGCCCCACGTGCGCTGGTGGTTGTATTGCTGTTCATGCCATAGTACATCAAATTAGAGGGACGAGGGGGGGGGCTAAGTATACAATCTCATAGCATGCCAGCCTGCATCAGAAACCCGAAAAAAATGCGCGCCGCCGAGTTCACCAGCGACTGGGCCTGCAGCAGCTGCGCAACGTCCTCGTCGTAATGGTACACGAGCGCGAGGTTGTCGCCGTTCGCGAGGAAAAAGCCGGAGCAGACGCCCTGTCAAATGTAAAAGTGTCTGGGTCTGGAAGAATGCAACTTGTCATGCTAAATCTGAAGCATGCAAACATCTGTGTTGCATGTGAAACTGATCAAACTGGTACCCCTGGACAATCGGGTACCTCCAGGAGCAATATGTATGGAAGAAAAGTATGATTTCTCAAAAAAACACACTGGGAAATGTAGAAAGCATACATAAAGCCAGTGTGAAAATCGGTACCTCCGTACCGCAAAAAGTAGAGAAGGTGCGGCGACCGCGACGGAGGTGTGCAGACCGAGCGACGAGGGCGCGTGCCTGTCATGTGCCGCAGCCACGCCCGCGCCCTGTCGGCCGACACGACATGGGAGACGAGAGGCGGGCGACGAGCTGGCGACATAGCGCGCGCGCGCGCGATGAGGCAGTAGCGACTATGCGGAACGAAGGGCCGGCTTTGTTATGTTTCTGCTGGCGGTTGCACCGTTGGCGCCGTAGCGGCGCTTTGACAGTGGTTCGCTGGACCAACCGACGGACATTCAGCGCAACTCAAACGAATTGATAGCGTGCGCAAGCGGACTCGCGGCGACATGTTGTTGTGGGCTAGCTGACCCAGTTATATGCAGCTTGTCGCGAATGAGGCTGAGGCTGCGGCGCGTAACCGAGCTGCTTGCGCGGTCTTTTAATTTGACGGGCGCCGCGGCAGCGCGAAGCGCACCCGGCTGCCGAGGTTATTTTGTGCTGTTTCGGGTACGGGCTGACCTGTTTCAAACGGGCTGACCTGATTCGTCCGGGCCCGTACTGTGTAATCTGTAACCCAGTACGGTGTGAATGGGTACCCCTGCAAAACCTACATTTGTATAAAAAATGCACAATGTCGTTGTTTTCCAATAGCATAAATTATATTCAGGTGCCGGTTTGTACGGAGGGTTCCGGACTTTCCGGGGGCTCCGTTTCAACTGTTACACATGATTACCAAAAGTCGTCCAGTTTTGACCAAGTCGGGAGGGAGTTCCTCATGCAGGATAGGCACGAGAGAGATCGCGCAAAATCTGTCATGCTAGGTCCTGCATTCCCGGCTTCATGGGTCATGGAAAAGCTGCATGACAAATCGCGCACTCTTCCAGACCCAGACACTTTTACATTTGATACGCCCTGCAGCAGCGCAAACTGCCCCGCCACGCACCAGTAGCAGACGGAAGAAAGCATCTCGGTGGTGGAAACTTCCAGCGGGCGGGACGGCGCGGAACCTCGTCTGCGCACCACCAGCGCGTCCTCCAACGGTATCAAATGTAAAAATGTGATGTCTGGGTCTGGAAGGTTGGAGCTTGTGATGCTAATTCTGGATCATGCAAAAATCTGTGTTGCATGAATGCCAAAAGTTGCCCACTTTTGACGAAGTTGCGAGGAAGTTTCTCATGCAGGATACGCATGATAGGGATCCCGCAGAATCTGTCATGCTAGGTCCTGCACTCCAGATAACATGGATCATGGAAAATCTGCATGACAAGTCTCGGAATCTTCCAGACCCAGACATTTTTGCATTTGATAAACGGGCTCACCTCCACCAAACGCGCCAGACTTTCCCGCGCAATGGCTTTGAAAAGCCCCTCCGACTGCTGCCGCGGAAGCCTGGAGTTGTTCTTGTAGAGGAACGACTCTTTGCATAGGGAAAAAAATGAACACGAAACTACGAGAAAAAGTAGCTAGTACCGCACCACATAGAAGTGCACCATCAAAGTGAAAGAAATTACTCAGGCAAAGCTTTGACAAGTTTTTTGCAACATTCGCTGAAGAACCCAAAAAATCATCAGCTTGGCATCTAGTATCTTCTGACGCTCAATATATACTCCATAGAAATCGCCCGTCTCCTGACGACTTGTTGGGGGTAGGAGGAAAAGACTTCGGTCGGGTCCGAGGTCTGCCGACAAAAGTCCTCCGGAACCGGCGGCAACAGGTGGGCGGACGTGCTCTGCTTCAACAGGTGCTGCGCGTAGAAAGAGTCCGAGTGGTGTCGCGGCAACGGCTATCAAATGCAAAAATGTCTGGGTCTGGAGGAATACAACTTGTCATGCTAAATCTGAAGCATGTAAGAATCTGTGTTGCATGATTGCCAAAAGCTGTCCACTTTTGACCAAGTCGGGAGGGAGTTTCTCATGCAGGATAGGCATGATAGAACTCTCACAGAATCTGTCATGCTATGTCCTATATACCAGATCCCATGGGTCATGGAAAACCTGCATGACAAGTCTGGCATTCTTCCAGACCCAGACATTTTTACATTTGATAACGGCTGGTGTTCCTTCTGCAACAAGGGGACGGTGTAAGCGGTGTTGCCATATGCAGTGCAAAAGTATCGCGCTCGTATAAATGCATTACAAATTTCCTCAGCATGAATAATGCTGATTACCCTTAAGGAAAAGATTTGTAATGCATGATTCCCATACGAGTACGATACTTTTGCACAGGATATGCCACTCCCACCTCCCATATCCTCGCTGGAGAAGGCGGCGATGCTTTTTGGTGAACTGTATCCTGAGTAAAAAGAACGTCCCCACCCCATAGTCCAGTCGGAAAATCTTCATCATCTGCAAGACAAATTAGCAAGCTTTGGCTGTTTCGCATGACAGATTTGGGCTCGGAATGTAATCCCGTTTAGCTAGTGCAGCAGCATCACAAGTCTAGTGTCTCATGCTGATTGTAGCATCACAAATTTCATCGAACAGCGCTCGAAAATGCGTCTCATGGGGCTCCGCATGAGAGACAACATTTAATTTTCACCATGCAGCAGATTCGCATGACAACCATTGGGTGTGGACGCTTTTACACAGGATAAACTGTTCCCCGTCGTGAGTCGCTGCTCGTCGGAGGAACTGGTGTACAGCGGCACTGGTGGCGGCGGCACCGCGCTCAGCGTTCCGGAGGTCGAGTATCAAAATGAAAAATTATCCCCACTCGAGGACGCCCCTATATCCAAAACGAAGTGCTTTCACAGACAACTACTTCACTTTCGAATATAGGAGCACTTGTTCTAGGGAGGACCATTTTCCCTTGCAATACCGAGCGGAATTGCAGGGTCGCCGGATTATAATTGTAATTCTCGACGTCTGCGGCGTCCAGGGGCACGCCGCTCCCGGTAGTCACGGCGGACGAAGAGGAGGACCGGGTGTTTTGCACGTCCTCCTCCGGAGGCGGCGCACCATCGAAATTACGGACATCGGCATACAGTCGCTCTTCGTTAGTACTATTTCGCTGGTTGAAAACGTTACTGGAGCCGTTTCTGTCGTGTACAACATGATTTTTCTCCGGACGTGTAGTACTATCCTCGGAACCATCCGCAGCATGGTGCTCCGCGGCTGCAGTTCCCAGTTGTCGATTGTGCATATCCTGTGCAAAAGTATCGCAGTCGTAGTAATTGCAGTCATGCATTTTTTTTCTTAAGCTAAATCCGCATTTTTTTACAAACTTTATTTCTCATGCTGAGGAAATTTGTAATGCATGTATACGAGTACGATACTTTTGCAATGCATAGTGCACCGACGCGGACGAGGAGGACAGCGACGTTCTCCCGGTTGGAGTGATGGAGAAGGTCGTCGTATCATTTGTAAAAACGTCACCACCCCAGAGCTGTAATGCAAGTCTGCACGCTGAAAATGTTTCTCATGCGAAGACCCACGAAGAGCAGTTTCTGATGGTGTTTCGAAATTTATCATGCTCCAATACGCATGCTCCGCTAGATCTGTGACGCTGCTGCACTAGCTAACAGCGACTACATCACGGGCCCAAATTTGTCACGCGCAACAGCCAAAGCCTGGTGCTTTGTCTAGCAGATTTCCCATCTTGACTTTGGGGTGGGGACGTTTTTGCTCACCATACGTCGCCGGGACGCTGATCCGCGTGTTGCTTTCCGGTTCTTGAAATGCAGGACTGGGACTACCACCGCTGCTCCCATTGTTCCTTCTTTCTTCTGCGGATTGGAATACGCGCACCAGGCCGAGCAGTGCGGTGCCGATCCAGAGCGCCTATCAACTGCAAAATTGTCTGGGTCTCCTGGAAGAATGCCAGACTTGTCATGCAGGTTTTTTTTTTTTATAGTGGCAGTTTGTTTTGGCTACTAGGTTTTCCCTGACCCATGAGGTCTGGCCCGTAGGACATAGCATTACAGATTCAGCGAGAGTTCTATCATGTCTATCCTGCATGAGAAACTGCCTCTCGATTAGGTCAAAAGTTGACAGCTTTAGGCAATCACGCAACACAGATTTTTACATGATTCAGATTTAGCATGACAAGTTGCTTTGTTCCAGACCCAGACACTTTTGCATTTGATAGCGCCGCGGTGCTGACGAAGAACGCAAACGTGGACTGAAAACAAACAAAAATGGTATGCGAGTGTCAAAGTCAGACCACATCCTCCCCCCCCTCGTTTCTTTAGAAGGTAGGACGAGGACAGCAGGGAAAAGACTTACTTTCTACGGGTAGCAGAAAAAGAATAAGAAATGCACGGTCTGCAACATGATAATAAACATCACAGATTTTGCATTGATACAAAAGGGTCTTAGCGCTGTTTGGGGTGGTGTTGTGCCTTCTCACCGATCATGAAGTAGATTGCGCTGAAAAGATTGCGTTTTTGCATGACCACAAAACGAATGGGAAGGTCGTGCCCGCCAACAACAACTCTCGTACTTGAAGTAAAGCGACCAAATGAACGCCGACAGCCCGTTTTATCCTGAGTAAAAACGTCCCCACACCAGAGTTGTAATGCAGATTTGCTAAGACAGGAAGACTTGTAATGCGCATCCCCATGAGAGCCATTTCCAGTCGTGTTTTGGAATTTGTGATGCTGTGAACAGGATGAGCAGACGAATCTGTGACGCGGCTGCACTTGCTAATCTGCACTACACTGCGGAGTGCAACTTGTCACGCGTGACTCCCAAAACTCCTAGGTTTGTGTTGCTAAATCCCCATCCTGACTCTGGTGTGGGGACGTTTTTACTCAGGATACGTTTCCGCTCGTGATCAGGCCGCTCAGCATGGCCGCGCGCTCGGGCTTCGCTTGGCCGAGCTGGTAAAACAAGCCGCACTGGTAGATGGCACAGCCGCCCTGCTGGATCAGAAAGTAGCCGACGGCCGCCACCCAACTGTTCTCGGCGCAGGTGCACTGCTGGCTCTGCCCGAAGAGGTCGTTCAAAGTGGCACTGAGTGCCGTGTCGGACTCTGGATCGGCGGCGAGTTGTTCCACCTCCGGCGCGGTCCCCCACCGTGGAATGGGATGGGCAGGACTGCCGCTGGAGTCTTCCGGGTGGTCGTCTGCTACGGGCTTAAAGTGGGAACTGCGGGCAGTGTGGTCCAGTGCAAATCTGTTTGGGACCTCTGGAAGATTACGAGATTTTTCATGCTGCTCTTAGATGCCTGTGGAGTTTGTGAAGTACATCAACCGTATTTTTGTTTGACGTACAAGGGCGCGAGCGCGACTTGTCATGCGGAATAGTCCGCAACACCTAGCCCCCCACAAACTTTTCACGGCTGTGCATAATTGCAATGCCCCCTTCAGTATTCAGAAACTAGCATCTTCTTCTTCACAAGTAAGTACTCAGGCGACCCAAGAAACATGTTTACATGTATTAAGAAGAAGGTAAATCCAAATCGCCTGTTGTATCGTCACCACCGGCGCCAAACACGTAATAGCGAAGCAATTCGATTGTGAAGAGCCCCGGCGTCGCACTGTCCGGTGGTGTGCTGGCCCCCGCGCCAGTAGTTGTTGCGCGGTGGTTTGTTGTCAAGCAGCGGACGCCGAAGAGAAACAGGAACGTCCCGGCCAGGATGCAGGTCACCGCGTAGACCATGCAGTTCCGGGCGCCGCGCTCGCTGTACCGGTAGAGCAGGGCGACCAGCAGCCCCAGGCCGCTGTTCCCGAACTGGCCGAGCGAGTAGATCAGGTTGGTCTGCGCCACGCCCCAGTTTTGGCAGCGCTGCTTCAGCTCTACCGCAAAGCTCCCGAACGCGTAGATGCTGCCGCCGCACACCGCGCACCAGAAGCAGAAGGCGAACAAGCCCCGCGTGCTGATGTGCTTCGCCGGCCGCGTGCCGCTACCCACGGCGGGGCTGCGGAGGGCGATGTCGGGACCGCCAGGGACAGGCGGCCGTCGTGCGGCGCCGATGTTTTCGGGCGCGCCGCCATGGCTGCTCGTCTCGCGACGGTGCGGCGGCGACTCGGCGGTGGACATGGTATCATCAGCTACACGGAAAGCGCGCAGCGTGCTTCTTGCTTGTGTGTCCTATTTTCAGACACCAATGGACTTCATCAGACTGCGCAATGATCTCTGTAAGACGTCGCGCAAGAGCTTGGCGAACCGGGGGGGCACCGTCCTACCCTTTCTCTTCACTGTTTCATCTCCGAGGCCGTGAGAGATTCTGCTAAGGCAAGCCACTCCTAACATCGGAACAGCGGGCAACAGCATGCAACTTCTCCACGCTGTGGGCTACCCCCAAGTCGCACCCTTCGGACAAAGCGCGCGGGGGCGGAGGCGTGAGAGATATCAGGGCAACGGAACATTGGAGGGGCTTCCCCCTGGGCGCCAGTCTCGTGCGCCTGTCCCTTGCGGTATGTGGAAGGCGGTCGCGGGCATTGCAGGCCCACGGCTTTGCATTATGGTCGCCGCGTTGCGGTGGAGGCCCGTGGGTATGCCGATTCAGTCTGGAGCCAGATGCGCGCATGTGCCTAGACGGAAAAGTCGCGGGCCATTACTTTGGCTTCCCGAAGGGTACAGCCGCTGGCGCCCCTGCGCATTCTGCGCCCCCAAAGGCGAGGCGCGCACACGAAGCAGGCAAACGCCGCACCGCCACAAGGCCGGTTTCCACCACCCGGCCGCGCCGCCGCTGCGCTTTGGGGCGGAAAGCTGACGCGACCACGGCCGGGCCCCGTGGACGCAAGCGCACCCAATCGCTTTGGGCCTGAGTCAGGAAACGCACCACACCCCCATCGCCAAGGCGGGGCCGATAGGTAATAAACACCAGGCCCGGGGCCACAAGCGCGGGCGCGCCGGCTTCGCAATGGCGGCAAAAACAGAAAGCCTTCGCGCAACCTAAAAAGCAGCGCATAGCGACTCCCGGCCGCCTTCGTTTGCCTTGTGGCGCCGCCGGAACCGGCTGCAAGCCGTCGCCGGCTGCGCCGACAAGGTCCCTCAGAGGCGAGCCCCGCGCCCCGTCGCGGTAACCGGCGCAAAACGAACCCGGGCGCCCTTGCTTCCCTTGCAGGCGCCGGAGAGGGCGCGCCCCCTTGCTAGCCTGCCTGAGGCCCGGCGTGCCGGGCCCCCCCCCACTATTTCCGGACATAGGGATCACCCCCCTTAAGATGCTAGGGGGGTCGAGGGGGGCCAGGGGGTGGGCCGGGGGCACGAAGGGGGCAACGAGCGAGGCCGGGGGCAGGCAGCCAGGCTACGGGGAGAGACAAGGGCAGGCGGGGCGGCGGCAGGCAGACCCGACCGGGGGCAGGGCGGGACGGCGTTGGTATTTGCTGGGAGGCCTTGCAATAGGTTACCTGGCTCAAGATGCGCTACAGGCGGGCAGCCACCCGAGGAAGCCCGGGAGCGCCTAGCGCCTCGCCCACCGAGGCAACAAAGGCGGCACAGTGAGCGTGCCCTCCCGAGCGGGGTCCCGGCAAACCAGCGAAGGCGCGGCTAGGGGGGAGCCCGGCGGGGCGGGAGGGGGAAACAAACACGGGGGGGGGGGCGAGGGCGGCAAGGCGCTGCGTGCCTCCGGCCCGGAACAGGAAGGGGCAAGAGGGAAGCGCCTGGGCCAGCCGCCGCGACGTCGCCGAAACCCTAAACCCTAAGCCCAAAAACCCTACGCCCTTGTGGGGGGTGGTCTTGGAAACTTGAGGGGGGTGGTCTTATCTTGAGGGGGGTGATCCGGCCTACGTCCACTATTTCCCCGGGGCGCGCCGGGCCCGCGGTTGTTTCCATCGGGCCGCGGCACAGCTATGGGCTTCGCGTTCCGGGGACCTGCCCTTTTGCCCCCTTGGGCAGCCTGGCGCCCCGCCTCCCCGCTTCCCACTTTTGTGCCCGCACTTCCATCCTGCTGCGGGCCCCGCAAGTGGGGCGCTTCCCCCCTATCCTCCGGCGGCGGCTCCGCCATGGGAGGGCGCAAAGCCCGCTCCGCGTTCCTTCCTGTTGCGGCCCGGCGGGCTTCGCGTTTGGGGTGCTTCCCCCCTCCCCCCCGGGGGCGACTCCGGCCAAGAAGAAACCCGAGGGCGCCCCCCGTGCTTTGCTGCTGGCGTGCCGCCCTGCTTCGCGCTTTGCGTTTGGGGTGCTTCCCCCCCTCCCCGGGGGCGCTCTGGCCGAGAAGAAACTAGAGGCCGCCCGCGTTATTTGCTGCCGCCGCGCCGCCCTTGTTTGCGTTTCGCGCTTAACGGGCTTCCCCCCTCCTCTTCGGGGGCGAATGTGGCCAAGTAGAAACAAGAGGCCGCCCCCCATGCTTTGCTGCCGCCGTGCCGCCCTGGTTTGCGTTTCGCGTTTGGGGTCCTTCCCCCCTCTTCTCCGGGGGCGAATGTGGCCAAGAAGAAACTAGAAGCCGCCCCCCGTACTTTGCTGCCGCCGTGCCGCCCTGCTTCGCGTTTCGCGTTTGGGGTGCTTCCCCCCTCCCCTCCGGGGGCGGCTCTGGCCCAGTAGAAACTAGAAGCCGCCCCCCGTACTTTGCTGCCGCCATGCCGCCCTGCTTCGCGTTTCGCGTTTGGGGTGCTTCCCCCCTCCTCTCCGGGGGCGACTCTGGCCAAGTAGAAACTAGAGGCCGCCCCCCATACTTTGCTGCCGCCGTGCCGCCCTGCTTCGCGTTTCGCGTTTGGGGTGCTTCCCCCCTCCTCTCCGGGGGCGACTCTGGCCAAGTAGAAACTAGAGGCCGCCCCCCATACTTTGCTGCCGCCGTGCCGCCCTGCTTCGCGTTTCGCGTTTGGGGTGCTTCCCCCCTCCTCTCCGGGGGCGACTCTGGCCAAGTAGAAACTAGAGGCCGCCCCCCATACTTTGCTGCCGCCGTGCCGCCCTGCTTCGCGTTTCGCGTTTGGGGTGCTTCCCCCCTCCTCTCCGGGGGCGACTCTGGCCAAGTAGAAACTAGAGGCCGCCCCCCATACTTTGCTGCCGCCGTGCCGCCCTGCTTCGCGTTTCGCGTTTGGGGTGCTTCCCCCCTCCTCTCCGGGGGCGACTCTGGCCAAGTAGAAACTAGAGGCCGCCCCCCATACTTTGCTGCCGCCGTGCCGCCCTGCTTCGCGTTTCGCGTTTGGGGTGCTTCCCCCCTCCTCTCCGGGGGCGACTCTGGCCAAGTAGAAACTAGAGGCCGCCCCCCATACTTTGCTGCCGCCGTGCCGCCCTGCTTCGCGTTTCGCGTTTGGGGTGCTTCCCCCCTCCTCTGCGGGGGCGACTCTGGCCAAGAAGAAACTAGAAGCCGCCCCCCATACTTTGCTGCCGCCGTGCCGCCCTGCTTCGCGTTTCGCGTTTGGGGTGCTTCGCCCCTCCTCTCCGGGGGCGACTCTGGCCAAGTAGAAACTAGAGGCCGCCCCCCATACTTTGCTGCCGCCGTGCCGCCCTGCTTCGCGCTTCGCGTTTGGGGTGCTTCCCCCCTCCTCTCCGTCACCCGGAGCCGCGCCCTGCGGGGCTTTTGCTAAAAAACGCCTAAAAATTTTACGGGCCGCGCCAAAAGCCGGGGCCCAAGCAGCCGGATCATCACATTGCGAGAGCGGCCTCAAAGTTGGCCACAGGGCGCGCCTACCCGCCCGGGGGTCGGCATCGAAGCAGAACGACGGCCGCTATCCGGCAAAGGCCAAGCGGGCAGGCACGCCCGCCCCGGGCAAAGAGGCGGGCGCGGCACCGGACACAATTAGCAAAATCCGCGGCCGCCTTGAAGGGGGAAAAGGCAACACACCCAGCCCAGGGTCAGGGCGGTGCTCCGGGGCGTGGTCCACGCGAACGCGCCATCCTTCTCCCGGGCCTCGCGAAGTTAAGAGTCGGGGAAAAATAAGACGGCGCCAAGGAGCCGGGCCGCGGGCCCTTGAGGCCGCCTATTCCACCCACTATCGGCGGGCTTATTTTCACGGCCCGAAAATTGCCGGGCGCCTTTTTTGCGATTTCGTGTGCGATTTCAGTGTGCAAAAAAATAAGAGAAAAAATAAGAAAAAAAATAAGACCCCCCGGCCCGTGCCCGGGCGCGCAATAGGCGGGGGAATAAGAGATAAAGTAAGAGTTATTTTAGGCGAAAAAAATAAGAGAAAAAAATAAGAGTTAAAAGTAAGACACAAAAGTAAGACCAAAAAGTAAGACCAAAAAATAAGACCAAAAAATAAGACCGAAAAATAAGACCAAAAAGTAAGACCAAAAAGTAAGAGACAAAAACGGGCCAAAAAAATAAGCGCTTGGGCGCGACCCTTACTAGAGCGAAACAAAGGCCGCGCGCACAAGGGTGACACCCCGCCAGCTTTCTCCCAAGTCCGGAAGTGCCTCAGGTGGGCGGCCGCAATGCAGCAGAGACCCTGGAAGAGTAAAAGGGGGCGAACCCAGAAGCGAAAGCCTGCGCCGCAAAGGGCGAAGGCCGTAAATTTTTTAGGCTTTAAATAGGGCCGCCTCCGCAAGGCGCGGCGCAGGGTGATCTCCGGGGGCGAATGTGGCCAAGAAGAAACTAGAAGCCGCCCCCCATACTTTGCTGCCGCCGTGCCGCCCTGCTTCGCGTTTCGCGTTTGGGGTGCTTCCCCCCTCCTCTCCGGGGGCGACTCTGGCCACGTAGAAACTAGAGGCCGCCCCCCATACTTTGCTGCCGCCGTGCCGCCCTGCTTCGCGTTTCGCGTTTGGGGTGCTTCCCCCCTCCTCTCCGGGGGCGACTCTGGCCAAGTAGAAACTAGAAGCCGCCCCCCATACTTTGCTGCCGCCGTGCCGCCCTGCTTCGCGTTTCGCGTTTGGGGTGCTTCCCCCCTCCTCTCCGAAGGACTCTGGCCTCGTAGAAACTAGAGGCCGCCCCCTATACTTTGCTGCCGCCGTGCCGCCCTGCTTCGCGTTTCGCGTTTGGGGTGCTTCCCCCCTCCTCTCCGGGGGCGACTCTGGCCAAGTAGAAACTAGAAGCCGCCCCCCATACTTTGCTGCCGCCGTGCCGCCCTGCTTCGCGTTTCGCGTTTGGGGTGCTTCGCCCCTCCTCTCCGGGGGCGACTCTGGCCAAGTAGAAACTAGAGGCCGCCCCCCATACTTTGCTGCCGCCGTGCCGCCCTGCTTCGCGCTTCGCGTTTGGGGTGCTTCCCCCCTCCTCTCCGTCACCCGGAGCCGCGCCCTGCGGGGCTTTTGCTAAAAAACGCCTAAAAATTTTACGGGCCGCGCCAAAAGCCGGGGCCCAAGCAGC